AAACGTGATCGGAAATGGTTGTGGTGTTTGTAAACAACATTTGTAAACATTTCAGTGACAGCTAGAAAAAATAATCTTGATCCGAACAGCTGTTCGTTGTTTCATAGATGATTATGTGATACAAATTGGAAGAAAACTTGACAAAAATCGCACAAAACTGCATTTTTGAACGGTCGTAATTTTAATTACAAAGTAGTGAGACCATATTTTAATGGCTAAAGACACTCTCGCCAATCCAGTGAATACATTAAAATGACTTGGGTCTTGATAGGTACTCTCGTTTTCCTGGAGAAGATTGCGTAAAATGCCATCTTGAGTGTGTCAGACAGACAGACAGACAGACAGACAGACAGAAATTTAGATGAGACTTGTTTCGGCTTCTTTAATGTATAAAACGTAAAAATAACCTAAAAATGTATGATTCTGAGCAATGTACAGACAAAACTCTAATTTTATTTATATAGACAGAACTAATTTTTCGATTAGTAAACCTTCATTATAGCATTGACTATATATTATAGTCAATCAGAAGCCTCCAAATGACACTGTTGGCAAAATTAATCCTGAAAAATAAATCGTGCGAGCCTGATTAAATCTACCCCAGGAACAGAACAAACTAGGCTTACAAAGTATGTTTTGAAAACAGCTGTTTTCACTATAGAATAAATAAAAAGCAGTTTATAATAATCCACCACAAAATGATCAAATAGAAATATTATATTCCTTTGAAGAAATTGTATAAAAATATAACAATAAGTAGACATGCACACATAAAAAAACTGTATAACTAATTTACATTTAGATTAAACAAAATACTGTTTTTTATTCAACTATAAAATGATAATCTGTTCTAAAAAGTATGATGATTAACAAACTAAAATAAAATCTAATAGCTGGTTCATCACAACCTTTTATCTTGTATTTACAACAAATATAATTATTGTTAATGGATACAATGTAATGATCACAATCACATACCGATATTGAGTTTTCATAGTTAGTTATGTTAATTTAATTTCACACTTTAAAAAAGTATATTACATAAGTAAAAAGTTTGATTACTTGCTGTAGGGCAGAAAAGTATGTGGTACGGGGCAAGCACAATAAGTTTCTATTTGTTTAATCTAGACGCAAGTGTTTAGTTACCTAAATACACCCTTTTCAATTAGAATTAATAATCAATAATTTCAGTCAATAAAGCTTTTTCATTTAGAGAATTTCATACAGAAAATATTAGCCAATTTCCTTTTGACAAGGAAGATTAGTAAACCTCCCACAGGTATAGGGAATATTAGTGAATTTCTCATATAGGAAATAAGCTATTACAATAGGTCTCATGGTAAGACCTAGACCTGGGACCGATTTAAAAAATAGTTTTGACCTCCCCAGAGGCCTAAAAATCATTTAAGTAACAATGTAAACGTCTCTCATGTTCTTTAGAATTTCTACCAACCACGGCAACACACATGATGATTTCTTGCGATCTCGGCAACATCTGTTTGTCTTTCCATTGATTATTCAATGTTTAAAAAAGATAATATTAAGTAAGGGAGCTAGATTATTAGAACAATCGACATGTTATAATCTTAATATCTTAAAGAGAATATATTTATCAGATCTCTTGAATATAAAAAAGATTATTTATTACAACAATAAAATCAAGCAATCACCTAACATTTAAAAAATTGCTAGGTTAATAATTAACAAAGAAATTCACAATAGTAAAAAATAAAAATATACAGAGGGCATTGTGTTGAAAAATTGTGATAAGCTGAAAGTCTACCCGAAATGTAAGCAATTTCTTTAATTAATTTTTGCAAAAACAATGATCACAAAACCTACTCATTGAAGCCATAATAGATTCTGTTGATAAAGGCTTAATTTACTGCTGGCACGTTTATGGACATGTCAATTAAATTATGTCCAAATGTCGCTGGCCTTTGACAATGTAGATCATATTGTAATGCTAAACAAGATTAAGATATGAGGGCATTAAGGGTGTTGCACATAAATGGTTTACTTCATATTTTGAGAATCATTGTCAATGTGAAGAAGAAGAACTCTCGGATTCAACCAAAAACAATTGGATACAGAAGACAAAATCAGATTTACTACAAATACATTTAGGGGTCCTACAGGGATTTATTTTGGTCCCTATATTGTTTATATGCTGCATTAAAAAAACTCCCAAATACATTGACTGAGCCAAAAAGTACACTAAGTATATTATGCCTATGATATCTATATTAAAACTTCAGGGAATCCCTGATATTGAAAATTATACTGAATTGGAGCTAAAAAACATTAAACAGTTCTTAACAAACAACATGTGGCACTAAATAAAAATAAGACAAATTTTTTACTCTTTCATATAAATAAGATCAAACCCCTAAAATTACTCTAAATAATAACCCGATTGATCGAGTGAAATCAACCAAATTTTTTAGATTGATAATTAATGAACATATAAAACGAATGAACAAATTAGTTATTTAGATGATATAAATAATTTAGGCTTGTTTGTATCAAGATCAATCAATGGCTCATCTATGTTTCAAAGTTGTTTTAGAATGATATAGCACTCGCTTATAGAATGTCATATTGGCTACAGAATGAAAATTTATGGTGTGAAAGCAAAAAGAAAATTGAAAAAGATTTTAAAACTATAAAAACCGGCTATATTACAAAATTCACATACAACTCACAGATTTTTCCCCGGGCCACAAAATTCATGTACAGTTTCCAGGTCAGCTAGACACCCTGATATAGGGTAAAATCATCCAATTTTCATTAAATTTGGTTCAAAAAAGTAAATCTATGTTCATTCAAACAAGTTCGCTAAACATCATGATCAGACTATGGGAACGGGGGTTTTATGGGGTAAAAATGAGTTTTTCCCATTTTTCAAACTCAAAACAAACAAATTTTGCAATTTGTTTCCAAGCCCTTTTGTAGTTCATAAATACCCCCGCCGCAGCAAACCTGCAGACTAAGCGAATTTCCATTTGACTGATTGGATTTGCACTTAAATGTCTACTTAAAAATATAACATTTATTCCCGATTTAAATAGAATTAGTTTAACAAGTACTTAGGTTTGCTGCATCAGGGAGGGTAAAACTGTTTTTTTTTTTTTGTAAAATGTTAATAGTTTTTTTGGAATTTTCTCCGTAACCATTAGGCGCATAATAACGCCTCAATATACAAAATTATTTGTTTTTTTAAGCTCTACAAAATGGTTTGGAAAGAAATTGCTAAATTTGATGTTTTTTGGGTCAAAAATGGGAAAAACCTATTTTTACCCCATAAAACCCCCTGTTCCCATGATCCGATCATGCTGGATCGCGAACTCGTTCGAATAAATGTAAGTTTACACGTTTGTACCAAATTTCATCAAAATCGGATCATTTTTGCTCGAGTTATCGTATATATATATATATATAAATATATAAATATATAAATATATATATATATGAATTTGAACGGATGGTGTTTTTGACCTCTAGGGACCTAAAAACGAAAAAAAAATCGGTCCCGCGTCCAGGTCTTACCATGAGTACTACGGTAATAGCTTATTTAGCTTATTAGCCCTATATGGGAAATTCGCTAAAAGAATTTTTAGTATAGGCTATTGAAATGTTGTTAGGCCTATACAACTAAATATTGGTTACAGAAATACCCCCGCCGCAGCAAACCTGCAGACTAAGTGAATTTCTATTTGCCTGATTGGATTTACACTAAAATGTATCCTTAAAAATATCACATTTATTCCCTATTTAAATAACATTAGTTTAACGAGGACTTAGGTTGCTGCAACAGGGGGGTAAAAAGGTGTTTATTTTTAAATTGTTAATAGTTTAGTATGAAATGAATGCATTTTCCAAATTTGATCAAAATATGTTCATAAACAAGCAAACTACAACAGTTTACTTATTCTCCATAAGAATAACATGGGAATTTTAAATTTAGTTTTTTGGAATTTTCTCCGTGACCATTAGGCGCATAATAACGCTTCAATATACTAAATTATTTGTTTTTTTTTTTAAGCTCTACAAAATGGTTTGGAAGGAAAATGCTAAATTTTTAAGTTTTTAGGTTCAAAAATGGGAAAAACCAATTTTTACCCCATAAAACCCCCCATAAACCCCTGTTCCCATAGTCCGACAATGCTGGTTTGCGAACTCGTTCGAATAAAAGTAGGTTTACACAATTGTACCAAATTTCATCAAAATCGGATGATTTTTGCTCTAGTTATCGCGCTAACGGACACATATATAAATATATATATATGAATTTGAACGGATGGTGTTTTTGGCCTCTAGGGACCTCAAAACGAAAAAGTAAATTGATCCTGGGTCCAGGTCTTACTATGAGTACTACGGTAATAGCTTATTCCCTATATGGGAAATTCGCTAAAAATGTAAAAACAACAATAATTTTATTCCAAGTCAACTATTTTAGTTTGCTTATTTATCTTCTTTGTAGCAGCAAACACAAGTAGTTGTTTAACTTATACTATTTAAATAAAGAATAAATCTAAATATATTAAAGAAATATTTGAGTACAAATCTAATCAAGCAAATAGAAATAATTATTCGCTTCCCCTTTGGATTGTTTCAACCGATCTTTATGAAACTTGGTTTGTATGTTTTAATAGGTAGAAGAGACCCACATCAGAAAAGAAGTTGCCCTGATCTAATATAAAATTTCAAAATGGTGGCCATTTTAATTTTTTAAAATTTAAATTATAAAATAATGGCTGTTTTATGAAAAAAAATGTCAAGAACTCTTTTTTAGCATATAAATTTCCTATTAAAAGATACAAAGTTCAAAAGTATCGAATACAAAATTACTGAAATATCACGATTTTTAGTTGTAAAATGGTGTAGAATAAAGCTAAGCTAGGCAGGTTTGCCTCATTGTACAGTTATGAGTTTTTACTTATTCCTAAGCTAGTTTCAGCTCTTGTACAAAAGTTGGGAAAACATTAATTTTAAATTGATCAATTTTAACACTTTGATTAATGTGTCATTTCAGTTATACATTTGATTTCAAACATTTTATAAATTCCATGCATTCGATTGCTAAAATATAAAGAATGCAATGTTGTAGGAAAACAAGCTGTTGGCGTTTCTTGTGAAGAGATAATCCTTACATTTTTCACTGCAAATGCAGTAGGAAAGATACCACAGTGACGAAGAGTTGATTATAAATCATGTTGTGTCGCTTTTCATCCGTTTTTGACAATGTTCTTTGGAGCTACCTTCTTCTTCGTTTTGCCTTTTCACAGCTTCTACTGGCTCTTTAGTGTTCAGACTTTGGTCCTTTGTTTCGTAAATTGGCCGACCAGTATCATCCATGGAGATTGCCTTCAGTTTTTTAAACGCAAACACCATGTAGAGTGCTGAAAAATATGAAATCCAGAGTTAAATATTAAACTAATTGTTTTTAAACTTGGTATTACAATTTTGTGAGCTAAAAGATCCTATACTGTTGTAAATGGACTTAAATTATGTAGAATGATAAAGAGAAAGGTGTTTTAGGTACAAGTTTTACTTAATACAAAAACACAACATAGCTTTCCACAAAACACAAATGGTATCCATGACAACTAATTTGTACAGAACACATGTGATACCAAAATGAACTATTCTCACAAATCATATTTTAACACCCTCCTTATTTGTGGAATCCCTGGAACTTAATGCAGTCTCTGAATTTTTCACTGTCAAGCGCCTTTGTTAGAGAATCAGCAACCATCTCTTTAGTAGGAACGTAAATGAAGGAAAGCTGTTTGGAGAGCTTCTCTCTCAAGAAATGATGCCTCACATCAATATGTTTTGTCCTGGCTTGGTACGTTCCATTCAAGGCTAAGTTCCTGGCTCCCTGGTTGTCACAATATATCTGGATCAGACTCTTTGAAGACAGGTCAATTTCTTCAGCTAAACCTCTTAGCCATAATGCTTCTTGAGCAGCTGAAGACATTGCCATATACTCGGCTTCTGTTGTCGAGAGTGCCACAGTAGGTTGTCGTTTGGTACACCATGAAATCGGACCATCGCACTTCATAAATAAGTACCCCGTGACGGATCTTCTTTCGTCTGGATCACTTGCCCAATCGGCATCGCAGTATCCAAATAAGTTCCTCCCCTTAAAACCATTATACTGTAACTTCCACGAAGAAGTTCCCTTTAAGTACCTGAAGATTCGTTTTATGCCAGTCCAATGCTCAATCCCTGGATTGTTGTTAAATCTACTCAGATTACTGACAGCATATGAGATATCAGGTTTTGAAACTTGGGCTGCAAACAACAGACTACCAATAGCTTCTTGATAAGGAATTGTTCTCATCTTCTCCTTTTCAACTTCATTTTCGGCATCTGAGCTTTACTAAATTTTTCACTGCAGCTCATTGGAGTTGATACTGGGTGGAACTGGTCCATTCTGAAACGTGTCAGCATCTTGTTGATGTACGTTTCTTGGCTTAACCATATATTCTTCTCCTTTCTGTCCCTGGTCAGTTGAAATTCCAAGACAGACTTTGCTTCACCAAAATCTTTCATTTTAAAAGACTTCATCATCTGAGTTTTCATCTCCTGTTTAAATTTCTGATTGTTGGAGAATATTAAAATATCATCAACCCAAACTGCAAGCAAAAACAATACACCTTCTTCAATTTGATAATAAACACACCAGTCGAATTTTGATTGTTTCAGTCCCAGACCTTGTAAACAAGAATCAAGTTTTTGGTTCCACACCCTGCTGGCTTGCTTGAGGCCATATATACTTTTATAAAGGCGGCAAACTCTAGAAGTTCCGTCTTCATATCCAGGTAGCTGGCACATGCATATCTCCTCTTCCAGTTCTCCCTGCAGAAAAGCGGAAACAGCATCCATTTGATTGATGTCTAAGTCTTGTTCAGCAGCAAGAGCTAATAGAAACCTAACCGAACTGTAACGGACAACAGGTGAAAATGTTTCATCATAATCTATTCCCCTCTTTTGGTCGAATCCTTTAACAACTAGTCGTGCCTTATGACAAGTTACCTGACCCTTGTCATTTTCCTTTGATTTGAAAACCCATTTACAGTTTAATGGTTTCCTCAAGGCTGGGGGTTCGACCAATTCCCAAGTCTTATTTTCGATTTGAGACTTAAAACTCACGGTCCATAGCATTCTTCCAAGAGTCTTTGAACTCACTAGTCAATGCTTCTTCGCGAGATATTGGATCGGATAGTTCGCCAGAGAAATAAGTAACATCATCGTTCAACGCAGCTGGGAGGTTTCTGACGCGCTGCGGTCAAGTTGTTGTGCCCGGAATAATGTCCATGTCAGTAATTAGTAACATCGTCGTTACTTCGGTTTACACCGGATCCTGTTGGAAGCACATCATCATTATTGGACACATCTGGACCGGTTTGTGTCTGACCACTAGTACTGTCCTGACTATCAGACAAACTTCCTGTTGGTTCGGGAAACACATAAAAATCTAAGTCTTTACTCACATTTTTCAATAAAGAACTTCCCCACTGATTTTCAGAAAAAGTAACGTCTCTAGATATAAAGTAATTTTCTTCTGATGATCATACAACCTGTACCCTTTACTAAACTGACAATAACCGACAAATATACAAGGAGTAGATCGTGGACTAAGTTTTTTACGTTTCACGGCAGGAATGTGAGCAAATGCCTTACAACCGAAAATTCTGAGATGTTGTAGAGTAAGCTTGTCACCTGACCACACTTGTATTGGAGTTGGTTCCACGGACCTGCATGGTGATCTGTTTAGAAGGTAAGCAGCAGTATTCACAGCTTCAGCCCAAAAGCTCGATGGAAGCCCAGACTCTATCAGCAAACATCTTGCTCGTTCTAGGAGGGAACAGTTGAGACGCTCTGCCTTTCTGTTTTGCTGAGGTGTGTAAGGACATGTAGTTTGATGCACAATACCTGATGACTTAAAAAACTCAGTTAAGTTGCGATTACAGTACTCCGTACCATTATCTGTACGCACCACTTTTATCTTCTTGTCAGTTTGTTTTTCAGCATACTCTTTGGAAGTTTTAAAGGGACCATTGACTTTGTCCTTTGATTTTAAAAAATAAACAAAACACATGTGACTATAGTCATCTAAAAAGGTCAAAATATACCTAGACACTCCAAGACTATTCACTTCCATAGGACCTACCAAGTCAGAATGCACTAGCTCCAAATAATGACTGCTTTTAGACTCACTCTTAGGAAAAGGTAAACGATGGCTTTTTCCTAACATACATATATCTCAAATAGTTTCTGGCTTACTACCAGAAATGTTGATATCATCAGCCAAGCCATTAATTAATCTTGTAAGGCTATCAAAATTCAAATGTCCCATACACTGATGCCAGAGCGTTAAGCCATTGCTTTGCATGGATAATGCAGATGTGTTCATAGGCATATCCAACTTAAACAGATTTTTTATTAAACTAGCAGAAGCAATGAGCTGACCTGTTGAATTGAAAACTTTGGCTCTATCACTATTGAATACCACAGAGTTTCCTTTATTTACAATTTGACTCACTGATAAAAGATTAACTTTTAAGTTATGCACATAATGTACATTACTTACATTCACTTCTGATACCTCACCAGAAATACATATTGGAAGCTCCAAATCACCGACGGTATCAGTCACCATTGTCTCATTATTCGCTGTGGTGATCGTTAGTGCTTGGCATTTTCTTGCGTTCAGAAGCATGTTACCGTCAACTAGGGATGGACGAGATTGGATTTTTAGTTCGAGACGAGATTTTTTATTTCTCATAAAATTTCGAGACGAGATCGAGACGGGATTTCCCTTCTCATACACAACGGGAAATGCACGTTCAGAATTTTTACCTGATTTTGTAACATTGTTAGATGACTGTTTAAATACAAAAATAATGATAATAGGCAAGAATATTTACAATCTGTTATTAAAAAACATCAGCATAACATTTTTTTATTAATCACGCCTAACTTATTAAAAATGCCTACGATTAGGAAACATAGTGATATCAGTTAGGATAGAGTTAAACTTATAATAAAATAAAATAAATCATAAAATAAAATATTAATTTCTACAAAATAGTTACTGGTTTTGACTTTTTTTATAGTAATAAAACATTCCTCACACTGCTAACACTTAACAAAACTTCTCAAATGTTATTAAAATAATTAAAGTAATATTTACATTTGAAGAATTAATTAATAAGAACGCCTTCGCAAAGGAAACGCAACTACAACACGGTCCTGTATTGCGGGTATTGCATTGACTTTCTGCAGGCGTGTTTTTATTTTATTTTTTTTTTTTTATTCTCGTCTCGATAAAAATCTCGGCCAAAAAGAAATCTCGTCTCGTGTAACAAGACTTAAAATTTCCCGAAAATTTCCCAAAATTTCGAGACTTGACCATCCCTACCGTCAACACATAAATGACAAGATGCACCACTGTCTAAAAAGAACTCATTACTAACGCCCAATTGCATTGAAAATGCATCAAAGTGTGACGTATAAGATTTGCCAAAATTTACGTTATTTTTGCCCACTACTCTTGTAGATGTACAGTTCTTTGAGATGTGACCGTAAACATTGCATTTATAACATCTCGGACCTTTCTTCACATTTTTGTCAGAACTACTAGAGGTTCTGTTCTTTTGATACACATTGTGAACTGTCCCTCTCGAACTGGAACCATACAGTGCAGAATCAGTTCCGGTCATATCACGATGTACTCGAGACACATCCTGCAATAACTTCGTTTTTATCGCATCCGCCGTGACTTAATTGCCTGAAGATTCAATTCCCATTATCATTATTTCATATCGGATGGGTAAACCAGCTAGTAAGATTGTTCCAACCCATTCAGTGGGTCACCTTCTGACCCACATTTGTAAGCTTGTGAGCAGTTGTGACTATGCAGTTCACGTTTTCCTCAACAGAACTACAATCTTCCAGCTTTGTAGTTATTAGAATACGGAGAAGTCCAACTCTCCTGCTTAATCCATCATCTTGAAAAACCTTCGTTAAATTGTCCCAAGCTGCCTTTGCAGTGGTTGTGTTTTGAATATGAAGCCTACATAATTCACCGGATCAACCAATAAGATCAGCTTTGACCGACATTTAGTGTCCTTTTTCTTATCCTGTTCTACACCAGATACACAGTCCCACAAATCAAAATCTTCCAGGTAAGCTTGTACTACTGCAAACTTCCAAGTATCAAAATTCTCACAACCTTTAAGCCTTTCAATTGGTAATGAATTTTGAGCCATATCACTGTTACAAACTTCTGAAGTCGGTATTTGTTAAATGAAGCACTGAATAAAATAATCTGGGCCCATAACCTGTTGTAAATGGACTTAAATTATGTAGAATGATAAAGAGAAAGGTGTTTTAGGTACAAGCTTTACTTAATACAAAAACACAACATAGCTGTCCACAAAACACATCTGGTATCCATGACAACTAATTTGTACAGAACATATGTGATACCAAAACGAACTATTCTCACAAATCATATTTCAACACTAGCTGTGTACCCGTTCTACGCACAGGGATCTTATAGTAATCAGTTGAAACCTTCTTATAATAAAGAACAGCAGTTGGTTTGCATATTTTCAGATATGCTGGCCAAACTATTATACATAACTTCGTTTTATGTCGTTTGTTGTTGTTCCGGATCGGTATGACAATAAAAGGCTAAATTACCTGTGTCCGCCGGTCGATCCTAATGTATCCTATTACAGAAGATGCATTTCGGCGAAATTAAATCGCCATCATCAGTCCTAATATAAGGTCTTGAGCTTCCCCATTAGGTGCGTCTTGGAGTTTTTGAAACACATACACGAACTGTACACTTATACACATGACGAATAAAACATAAATACACGGTAGGCCTACTTTTATTTTTACTATGGACAAGTAGACGCGCGTCGGTTGTGTGCCGAGTCTCGACTGAAAACGCTCATTTAAAAAATGTAAGTTTCCCAGCAATATAGGCCTACAACACTGATTCAAGGTCTATTTCCCGGTTATCAAAACTCAAGATCAATTTTATACACAAAGAATCTCTATTTTCATTTACTGTTACCCTACATATTATTGCACTTGCGATTAATTAAATCCGTTATGTAAGGAAAAACGTTTTTAATCTTAATTGGTTTGGATTTGCTTTCAAAACGTGATCGGAAATGGTTGCAGTATTTGTAAACAACATTCAATGTAAACATATCAGTGACAGCTAGAGGAAATAATCTTGATTTGAACAGCTGTTCGTTATTTCATAGAAGAATATGTGCTAAATATTGGGAGAAAACTTTACAAAAAATCGCACAAAATTGGGTTTTTAAACGTCCGTCATTTTATTTACAAAGTAGTGACGCCATATTTTAATGGCTAAAGACAATCTCGCCAATCCAGTGAATACATTAAAATAAAATGATTTGGAACTTGATAGGTACTCTTGTTTTTCAGGAGTAGGCCGCGTAAAATGGCTCTTGGGTCCTGACAGACAGGAAGACAAACGGAAATTTAGATGAGACTTGTTTCGGTTTCACTAATTTATAAAACGTAAAAATAACCTAAAAGTTTATGATTCTGAGCAATGTACAGACAAAACTCTAATTTTATTTATATAGATATACCCACCCCAACATTCTATGCATGCACACCACAATTAATTATAATAAAATAGAGTAGTACAATAGTACAGTAGGCCTAGATATGATAATTATTTTATTATATGTTCTACTTTTCTATCATTGTTTTGAATCTATTAGAAACAAGTACAGTACTTCAAAACACAATAAAAAACGTTTGTGGGTTTTTAACCATTGTTAGCGTTATTATAATTCTTAAGTCTTGAGAAGGATTTAAGGTTAGAACATTAGGAAGAGTTAATCTAATCTAGTAACAAAATCAGTCTCTTGGTTTCAATAATCTATTCTAATTCTTCTGCAGTCCAAATGTTATGTCTTATTTATTTCCACTATGAATTTACCAATAGAAACAATTTTCTTGAATTGAAATCCCTTAAAATTATCACACAAAGAAATGTTTATGATAATATTAGCCTTAGCCAGAAAAAGTATATATATGAAATAAATCATCATGAACTAATGAACTATGACAATTCTTTTGCACTGAATATGTAAACCTAAAGGGTTCAGGTTCATTCATCAGATTTCTAGAGAAGTTGGCTAAGGTAATGGGAAGACAATGAAAAACAATTTTAATTCTTATTTTGGAGAAATTTTTTCTATCCTCAATATTCTAAAATGTTCTCAATAATCTGACATTTGGTGGTCCGGCAACACAGAAGTCTTAAATTTCTATGAATCAAGTCACTGGTTGCACTTAGTAAATAAAATAGTTTTAGTCACAAATCCCAAGAAAAATAAATAACTATCTTTGTCTTGACTTTTCTCAATATCTACTTACAAGTTGCTTCCCATTCCGACTGAGATAGCGTTCCCACTCGATCCGCATTGTTCTTCTCTATAAACTCCTTTGCATGCTTATACTCGTCTTCTCCTCCAGCTAACGTTTCTCCTTCATTCGGTGGATACGTCTAAAAATTGTCATTAAAAATATTACAACACAATGTGACAGCAGCTGTGCATCATTTTAATCCAAGATTCGCTAGGAAAAACCTTGATCATTTGAATAGAAAATGTGCTATTGTCATGTTTAAATACCCTTGTTACTAAAGGGCTAAGTAAATATAACATAGTGCAAATTTTTTTCACCAGAGTTTTATTTAACATGAAATGTAAATAGTGTTATTTGTAATCTATATATTAATTTGAATTTAAAGGTTATTTAGATACTGTAGCACTTGTCAAAATCTGCAATAGACAGGCATAACTTTGGATTTTATAGGTTCCTCACCTCAAGTGCTTGCATTTTGCCTAAGAGATTCCGTCCTCTGTCTTTACTTTGTTTGAAGTAATCTTCAAATCTACTTTTTGATACTAGCTCCAAACCATATTTTCTTGCCAACCTGAAAACACAAAAGTCAGAAGTAGGGCTTGATTTCATGGTATAGGTTACATTCATTGACTTTTAGATACCATTAAGACGACCAATCTACATGGTCAATGTTTTATTCAGATACAACATAGCAGAATGAGCCAATATCAGAGAAAGCTATAGCAATTTTGATTGAATTAAAAACCCCTTTTTTGTAATACATTGTATTACAATTTATTCCTACACTCATTTTATAGACACTAAAATCTGATTTTCCAGAACAAGTTTTTTGTAGACACACATGGTAAGAACAGTTCAAAAGTAGCAAATTGCCTGATTTATTTATGGTCTAGAGAAAAAATCTTCATCCATTAGGGTATATAAACTTCCAACCAAATCGTCGGTGGTTTATCAGGTGGGACTCTTCCACAACTTTGCCATAGGTGATCTTCCCCGTAAAGAGATACTTTAAATCCTAGGGCGGGAGTACCCTGGTATTCACAAAGTCAGGCTAGGCCTGCCCCTAGAACCAGCCACACTTAAATATCTTTCCCAGGGTGCTCAGAAGGAGCCGAGAAAAATCCAGAGGGAGATACGTACCATCTCCACAATTAGGCCCTGGACATAAAGGACTTCCCACGAATGAGGTTGTCCCGCGATTTCGCCGTATACTCGGTACCGATCAGAGACACGTCATCTCTGGGGCTGATGGTTCCCATAAATTCATTTAAGAAGCGGAGCCACTCCTCGGAGGTCGTACAGCGTCAGGTAAATTGTTGGTTGACCATCAAATTATAAAACTATCTATCTAACTGTCTATCAAACTAAACGCGATAATTGTGTTCCGTCGTTGGACCAAAGAGTGTGATGCACAACGGAATGTCTTCCCTGGGCAACGGGATGTTGGCTGGCAGCTTCACCAACACTGCGAGGGTTCGTCGAACGGACTCAGAATCAGCATTCGGCGGGAGTCCGAGTATATCTTGTACGCTGGCATGGAAAGAGTTTCCAGCAACCTGCGGTCGAATTTGCATATCATGGACCGCAGAGGCAGCGGTCCCTGATACCGTAGTCACCATCGGGTTCATCGGCTGACCGATGCTTCCCAATGGGTTCTTCCAATCCTCGCAAAAGCTTTTGCGAAGGCCGGCTATGCTACTCTCGGTTCCCAGATGATCCTTCGTCATCACAGCTATCAGATATTGTATGTCCAACGTGTGCCGACGTGCGGGTCGTCTATCGGCAATCTTGGAACGCTCTCAATCCTCGAAGGCACTATTTAGGATATTTTGTTGTAGTACTGGTGGTTGTCGACACTTGAATTCCCACATTGGAAGTTGTTACGTGGATAATCGGTAACGTATGGGGTCGAATAATTGTGGTCGGAGTTTAATAGAAGTTGTAGCTTTTGTTTCCACCGTCATTTTGTTTACATGTTCAAGTCAAACCCGTATTTTCAAGTCCCTGTTCAGCCGCCAGAGATGTGACACAAAATCATTGTAGAGGTCAAGTAAAAAAAAAGGAATATCAAATATCATGAAGTTAAAACAGCCCATTTACCTTTCAAAAGTTGGAAAATGTACCAAGAACTCCGGGCAGTTGACTACTTCATAAAGTGTAAATCCATACTTGGCTCCAAATAGGGGGAAGGGTTCGTCAGTCTTCTCAAATTCAATTTGGTAAACGGAGTTTCCAAAAGAAGCGGAGCCAGCTGTCCTGTAGCGGGTGACGATATCGTTGGCATCGGGCATGGTTCCGATGAAGTATCCACCTGGTCGCAGACATTCTGAGGCATTCCTCAACATACACTCAGCTTGTGGCAGACTCTCGAAGGAGTAGTGGAAGGAGAACTGACAGCTGACGAGGTCTAGTTGTAGCGAAACGTCTTTGTACTGCTCTCTTAACCTTTCCTGCAGAATAAACAAAAAAACTTGTCACAGTATCTAGAGGTAATATTTTTATTCAGGACTGTTCACTGACAAATTTACCACAAAAGCTGCCTGACCTCTTCCTTTAAACGTCCATATCAGAATATTTACAAAAAAAAAAATATGAAATTATTTTGAGGAAATAAACACTATGTTAATAGGTACAGTACCTAATAAATTATATAAATAGTTTTAAAAAAAACACTAAGATTTCAATCTTTCCTAGGATTTTTAGGACACTCAATATTTAAGCTTTTCTAAGACCGATGCAACTCATTAATTTGCATGTATGATTAATTATGCATTTGATATTAAAATTACATTTCGTACCAAGCCCATCACAGTACCATTTTCATTATTTTAAATGGGTGATCAAGTAGGCCTAAACAATAATCTTCCAGTGACTACAACTTCAGCTAATATTACCAACCTTGGTACAATCGGCCACAATAAACTCAGCCGAGAAGCCGTTGCTGTATCGGTTGTCCCTGCGGTTACGCATGTCATCGTACCTCGCGCGACATTGGTCCACACTGGTTGCAGCGATGTCCGCACAGATCAAGTGAGTGATACCCGTGTTACGCCACTTCAACAGGTCGCCACCTTTGCCGCAGCACATGTCCAACACTCGGACAGGTGAACCGACGCTTTTGTTGCGTTTTATAGAGTCCATGTACTCATCTGCAGACAAAGTGGCACTTAATTGATTAAAAATAGGTAGCAGGGAAAACATTTAATAAACAAATTCAAACCATATAAAATTCTTCCACAAAATCAGCAGTTTTTTAAAGCCAGGACCATTATTTAATAGCTAAATGTACAAAGGAACTGGGTCCAGTTTTGAAACATCAAAAAAACTTCTAACGTTGCTTGGTATTGTACCGGCAAAGCTCACACAACAATTCAAGTACTATAATAGCGTAAGTAGTCTTTGCTAAACGCGGACTGGTTGAAAATCTTTTGCATGTATTTGGTTCACATAAAACTCATGTAAAGCCCCGTTCACACAGGGCGAGTTTACAAGCTACACACCGGCTTTTTTACACGCAGCTAGTAAAATAGCTGTGTGAACGACGTACTCGCTCAAAAGCTGCTTGTAAAAAAGCTCTGGAAAAAGTTGAAGCTGCCGCTACTTTACACGCCAACTCGCCAGCTTTTGAGCGAGTAGGCGTGTAAAGTAGCCCAGTGTGACCACAGTTGCTTGTGCTTGTGCGCGTGTTATTCAAAGATGGTGGAGGATTTGGTTCGAGCCAGCTACTGAGCGAGTGGGAAAAGCATTGTGTGAACGACTACAAGCGCACTTGCCGACTCTGTGGCGTCTTTTTACTTATCGGCGAGTTGGCGAGTGGACAAGCTCCGTGTGAACGAATACAAGCACACTCGCCAACTCGCTGGCTTCTTACAAGCTGGTGAGTAGCTTGTAAACTTGCCCCGTGTGAACGAGGCTTAAGTAGCCTACAGGACAGTGTGTTAGTCAACAGTACAACAACTATTACAGTACAGAACTATTAAGTTTACAGCATAAAATTAACATAGAAAGCATTTAATGAATTCTTTTGGGAAGGATTGCAAAATCGATTTTTTACAGAGGGCGGAAGTCTATAAAAAATCGTTCCTTCCTTTACACAATCTATCTTTTGACTGGACTATATAAGAAATTTTAATAAAAGTATTTTCAAAAAAGGAAAAAGTTAACAATATCAATTTACAACTATACAAAGGACCATTTGAGGAGTTGTTTGAAATTTTAAATTATGTAGATCTTTTACTTTAAAGTTAGTAATTTGTTAATAGAACTCGGTAGTAACATGGGATATCTAAGAAAATGTAGCAAAATGACACTTCTCTATTTATTTAGCTTGATTTTGAGAGGTGCTAGATCTGTTTTAAAATGCATTTAAACATTTAAACACACCCACACACACATTTGTGTGGGGGTAGATTTTGATAAGTTTTTAAACAATTTTAAGAGGTGTAATTTTAAAACTACTTAAGATACAAAGTTGAAGTCTGTTATTTTTCTTAGCTTCTGTGGGACGTATCAATATATTACAGGGTGTCCACAGACAATTTTTCATTAATTTCCATGACTTTCCATGACTATCCATGACCATTTACCATTGATTTCCATGACTCACGAACTTTACTCGAAAATTATAATATACAAATAATACTGCATGGACAAGTTATTTCACAGAAAATACTGAAATATGTGTTAACAGATAACAATGGATTACAATAGGTACAACAATGAACTAATACAAACTCCAAACTCATAAACTGATACAACTGTAATAAATTGAATCGTCGAACATTTGTAAAAAATGCTGATAAATGCTACAATAATTTTGGTTAGGGCCGACTAGAGCCTTGAATGGTCCCCTCAAATCCATCCACCATTGGGGATTTCCATGACTTTCCATGACCTTTTGCCTATTTCCATGACTTTCAATGACCAGAATTTTTTTCCATGACTTTCCATGACTATCCCTGACTTTCCAGAATGTGGACACCCTGTATTACATGTCTTTGATATCTGAGGTAGCGAGGTAAAATGACTGTGATGATTTGGTGGAATGGCCATGATTTGTCTTTGCTAGCTGGACAGAATACTAAACAGTACCACGATTACAAGTAGCGAGGAACATGTACCACTTGAAATACAATTTGAATAACACAGGGACATAAGCACCTAAATCTTATCGTAACATTAAAATCACTAATCAACATACTTATTAGCATGCTTTTTATCCAGTTGTTGAAGTTCCTCAGATGTACAATTCGACTTTTATTCCTCTCAGTTAATCCTTTTTCTTCTAAAGCATTATAATGGGCTGCAACAACAGCACTGTGTCCTTCAGTTACCTGTAACAGGAGTATATTATTAGCACACAAGAGATTTTGACATCAAATTGGAAAAGCAAATCGGTCCCAGGTACAGTAGTACTCCAAATATCCGAATCAATTGGGACTGAACCGCATACGGACAGTCAAAAATTAGGATAATTGGGTATTTTAAAGAAAATAGGCAGAGTCAGGTCAAGCTTTTACTATTGCGATCGTAGAACACATCAGTGACAGGTTCAAGATTGAAAAATTTATGATTTTACCACGATCGAGGAGTAGGAGTACCGCGAGAGACAACAATTATGATTACAAGACCATGGAAGACATTCAAGTTTTTTTGCGCGATCACAGAAAAACTATGACGTTTTTTGTTTCCTTGACTACGGGAGACGATGATGATGTCAACAGGACTACGGGATATATTTAACATTTTGCCGCGATGGCAAAAAACGATGACTATGTTTCTGTGACTGCAGGAGACAATGATGATGTCCACACGATCGTGAGAGAGGTTTTGGATTTCATGCTACCGGTATGTCTATTTACATTTTAGATTTTCCTCCCCTGACTCCTAACGGGTTGTCCCCTGAGGAGGTAGCACATCACTGAATAATGTTTTAAAATGATTTTAATGCCCTGTAACTGTGTACCAAGTTTTGAAGCTCTACAAATATATTTAACCTTCCTGGGACTTTTTTCCACCTTGTGGTTAAGGAGGAAATCTAAAAAAACTATTATACCTTTAATTCTGTTAAGTAAACTAAACTGTTGTTGTTTGCTTGTTTATGGTCATATTTTAAAATAAATTTGGCAAATGTATTTATTTTATATTACCGGTACCGTACCTAAGTTATTAGCATTTTATTTTACAAAAAAGTATGTTAAACTTAGCATAATTTAAATAAGGAAGAAGTTCAGTGTCTAAATCGGACTCAGAGGTAGGCCTATTGCTAAAATCTTTATCTAGGCGACTGTGGAGTGCATCTGCTGCGCTTAACATATTTGTGTGCTGTGTGTGTTGCTTCATGTGTGTCTCAACATATGCCAGGTAAAACAATTAAAATTAAATTTTGTTATTGTATTAAATAGGTAGGCCTATTCTTATTCTTTATAAATTTCTGGTTAAAATGATATATAATACACGACTAAAGTATATTTGGAAACCATTTAAATTGTACTTTAAAAGTAAACTATGCAGTCAGTTTTGCATGCAAATAATTGCAAAGCCTCTGTGAAATACAGATTATTTTTTCTTTCGATAAATTCCAATAAATTATATGCAAGTAGTATGCCTATTATATCATATAGGTAGCACTGATCTCCGTATTACAACTGACTTTGTTGTGTTTCTTTTGCAGCACTGGCATGTAATAAAATAAAACATATGGTCATGTCTGCAGTATTTCTGTCAGCTGTTTGGTTTTTTGTTGATTATCGCAATCATGAATCTTTTGCGTTTGCAAATACGCGAACAGCTGTATCCACAGTTCTACTTCACTTAGGAGCCTTATTTCTTTTTTATTTTGTAGGTAATATATGTATCTACAACCTGTAGTATGGATTAGGCCCTAGTCCAAAATATAAAAAATATGGATAGAAAAATATTTAATGTTAAAAAGTAATAAGGAATTTTTTTATTGATTTTTATTTTATAATATAGGTATAGTTGCCTTATGTTAAACCCCATACTACAGTTTGTAGGTTATACCATAGACAAAAAGAATTAAATATAGACCGTCAGCTGTTCTGCGGTTACCATAGGTTCTGGCGCACACCGCTTGGAGCACCACGGTAGTTACGGCGTACGCGCTACGTAAACTACAGCGGTGTGCGCCGGAACCTATGGTAACCATGGCAACCGCAGCACGGCTGACGGTCTATATTTCATTCTTTTTGTCTATGGTTATACTGAGGGGATTGAAATAAAAAAAAAACAGTTTATTGATATCTATCTTAGAGCTTGAGAAATAACTGTTCTTGTAAAACAAGTTTATTTTTCTAAACTACCCCCCTATAGAGGTTGAAGGGGGTGTGTAAACAAAAAAAATGCATATACAAAATCTTGTTACCCTTAGAGCATTAATAAAAAATATTTCTTTAAATGTTAACTTATCTTCATTATTGTAGATTTTGATCTTTTAGGTAGCGTTCCCCCTTAAGCCTACAAATAAAAATTGAAATTTGTTTAGTCTGCACGTTTGCTGCGGCAAGGTATTTTGATTATTGTTTGTAATAGTAGGCTAGTATGGCAAAAAATATTGTACATCACTCATCAAAAATGTCTAAGCCCTACCGTATTTGTATGGTATCGAACCCTCAGTTTTGTCTTGCGCGGGAACAACCGTAGGTAACTTACTCGTCCGTTTTACACAAACTGCTAACAAAATATAGGCCCAATAATATAAATGTAATAGTCTAGACTAATCATTTAAGAAAATGTGTTAATTTTACTTAGCCTAACCTTGGTCCTTTATCATAGTTTTTTTTTTCAATCTTAATTTAACCCAAAAATAACTTAACCTTGTACAATCATAAATTACTTAAATTCACAAACCTGTGGTGTAGAGTTTGATTCACCATTGCTGGTTTTATCAGAGGTGTCTTCCAAAGAGTCATTCTCTTCCAACCCTTTTTTTGGATTATCAGTCACCGATATAGGTCCATCTGTCAGTGGGTCCATTGTTGCTGGACCTTTGTCTATTAATTTTAATCTCAGGAATGCAAATAGTGCCCTGAAAATAGTATGTATAAGATTTATATAAAATTGAAAGGAAAAAAAGGAGTGACGCCAGACAACTAACATAACTTACTACATAAAAATGATTAAAATCGTTTAAACGATTTTTGAGATATAAATTTTTAACTGAATCGGCAGGTCAGTTGCCTTGAAATGAACAGGCCCAACTTCTACCACTTATAGATTCCATCATAACCATGGTATGGAAATGCAATTTATTTCTCAGTTAGCTTAAGACAATATGATCATACTACATAAAAATCATTAAAATCGTGTAAACGGTTTTCGAGATATAAATTTTTAACTATATCGGCCAATCAGTAACCTAGGAATGAACAGGCCCAACTTCTACCTCTTATAGAAACCATCATAACAATGATCCTACACTCATTCGAAAGAAAATATCGATCGATAGGCCTACCTATATCGATTATACACGGTTTGGTTGGTTAGGTAAGGTTAACCTAACCTATACAACCAAACAATATATCGAATGAAACAATCGAATAATCAATATTTTCATTCAAATGAGTGTAGGACCTAAAGTAAGGTGCAGCCCATGTTCCTGAGTTAGTTCCTAATTAATTAGTTAGATAAGTAAGTTACCTATAGGAATTGTGTTGTTAACTTATTCGACTTAAAAAAAACCCTGCGGGCTGCACTTTACTTGACGTCCTACACTCATTCGAATGAAAATATCGATCGATATATCGATAAATAGATTGCTTCATTCGATATATCGTTTGGTTAGTTAGGTAAGGTTAACCTAACCTAACTAACCAAACGATATATCGAATGAAATAATCAAATGAAAATATCGAATCGAAAAAACCAATCGAATGAGTGTAGGACGTCAAGTAAAGTGCAGCCACCCTGCGCTCTACTGTTAGTAAATTATAAGTTATGCTTACGGATTTATTAAGTTATACCATTGTTATACTGTTAGTAAAAAACGGATCTCTGGATTTATCCAATTTTACTTCTTTTTTTTAAGTCCCTTCCCTGTTATACAGTACTTACATACCTACTAGGCTACACATACAAAATATGTGTGGACCATCAACTAGAACATTAGTAGGGTACTTACAAAGTTGTTAGCATGAATAAATCAATAAATGCATATCAAGCATACTCCAATCAAACACAGAATTAATATAACTTACAGTTAATTTTAAAGTCTCAAAATACGCAAGTCCTATTCCTAACCTCAATGTCTTCCTCCTTCCTTAAGTTCCTTAGCTTAAACTTGCTTAAGGGCTGTTATTGTAAAAAAAACCGAATTGGTTAGACGATGCGATGTTTTTTTTTCCGATAAGTATTGACTTCTTTACATCACTATTAAGCTTTGCCTATTACCATTGAGTATAGACGTATACTCAATGGTATAGTGTACTTGTAGGCCTATACCACGGCCACCTCTAACTACAGGCCACGGCCTGGTAGTTTAGAATTGGCAACGTCGCAAGACGAGGTGTTGTCTAGCGCCAGACGTCCCGACGTCCCATAAGCCGGGTTTTCCTAGGTGCGGAAGCGGAGAGCGGAGAGAGGAACGCGGAGAGCGGACTCCACTTGTCTTAGGTAATTTAATGTTACTGTTTTCCTAGAAGCGGCGCGGAACACCATGTTAATCTCATTTCCGCTCACCGCGTTCCTCTCTCCGCTCCTAGGAAAACCCAGCTTAAGATAACATGGCAGACATGTGACACCAGCTGATTATTTCGCGTTTTATTCATTAAAATTAAAATTTATGAACATAAATTTATTGATGGATTGAAAATAAAACGTATAGAATTGAAAAAAAAAAATTTTTAAATAAAAAATAAATTTTTGTACTTGAGTAAATATTGTCATAGTCCAGTAACCAAGCTTTCGTAAATACACATATACCATTAGCTGCTGCCAAACTAAACAGCTGTTACAACACCACTTGCGACGTTGCCACTTCGGAGGCCGCGGCCTGGAGTTAAAGGTGGCCTTGCCTATACTCCAAACGCCTTTACTAGTACCATAGATAAAACATACTCATCAGTCCTCAAGTACACCTCCTTGAGGAGTATGTTTTATCTATGATACCACTCCGTGAACCTGAGGGAATCATGTTGACTCGATTTACTCAAATTCAAATTTATGCCTAAATCTTTTTACTACCTAGTACTTTTCTACAGGAGTACTGTTTGAAGGACTGTTTTCTAGTGTTCAATTGGGGTAGTGGATTTTTATCTCCCTGGAATTTTACCCCCTGGGCAAACGTAACGTCACAAACCAGGGGGTAAAATTCCGGCCGCGAACTTTTGAGTTTCGCGACATCTGTTCTATGGATTGAACGCAGAATTAAACGTATATTTTCACGGTTGTAAATTTAATCAGAACACACCAAATTATAAAAACCTAGAGTGCTAGACCTAGAGTGTACGGGCCGGAATTTTACCCCCTTCATGAGGTCAGCTCAAAATGTACGGCCCGGATTTTTACCCCCGGAATTTCACCTCCTGGCCAGATATATAAATTAGTGAGAATGGGTAATTCTCTTCATTCAGTTTTAATTTAATAGTAAACATTTTATTGTTAAGTAGCCTATCCTAATTTATTTGTAACATCAACTAATCGAACAGGTTTTTACTTTTAATTTTGAGATTTGAGCATCAGGATTCGGTCATTGAAGCCAACTGTTGGTTTATATGATCAAAATTAAACAGCGAATTATGTTTACTTAGTTGAGATAACAAGATAAATAAATAAAGATAGGGCACTTAATAATAAAATGTTTACAATGAAATAAAAATAGAAATTAGAAAATCAATCATTCTTAATAATTTCTATACCCGGGGGTAAAATTACGGGGGGTAAAATTCCGGGGGTAAAATTCCGAGGGGTAAAAATCCGAGGGTAAAATTCGGGGGGGTAAACATCCGGGGGTAACATTTCGGGGGTAAAAATCCGGCCCGTACATCTTCATTTGTCTAAACGCTAGTTACAGTATATGGACAGGGGGTAAAATTCAGGTTTTGATTGTTAATCTAATTAATCACGATCTGTCTATTTTCATTAGACTTCCAAATCCGCGGGGGCAAAATTCCGCTCACGAACAAACTTTTGAGCGCTCAGGTTTCTACGTCATAGTGACGTCAGCTTTGCTCAGGGGTAAAATTCCAGGGGGATAAAATTCCGGGGTCGCTGTCAATGCGCCACCACGTCAAACCGCCACCTCGGTGTTTTGGTCAGAGGCGTCAACCAGCCACCACAAAAAAACCGAGGTGGCGGGTTGACGTGTACGTACAGGTCAACCCGCCACCTCGACAACAGGCCACCACGCCAACCCACCACCACACAATTTTCCGAGATGGCGGGTTGTCGTACATACTCAAGTCAATGAGCCACCACGACAACATGCCACCACGACAACCCGCCAACACCAGTTTTTATCAGAGGTGACGGGTTGTCGTGAGGCTCCATGTTCGATGTCGGCAACCCGCCACCTCGCACGTAGGCGACAACGCGCCACCCCGTCAACCCGCCACCACTCTTTTACGAGGTGGCGGGTTGACGTGTACGCTCAGTGTTCGGTGCCGTCAACGCGCCACCTCGCTCATAGGCGACAACGTGCCACCTCGACAACCCACCACCAAGCACTCTTGTCGTAAATCTTTTGGATTTATATTCTTTAGCATTACATATATTGTACGTTGATTCAGTTAATTTAGAGAAAGTTAATGTAACTCTTAAATAGCATTTCAGGAAATTTTAGTTTATTTTCGGAAGAAAGATTGATAGGTAATACAATTATTAACATGGTGAAAACCCGACATTTGAAAGGGTCTCACACCCTTAAGGGTAGGAAGTATTAAATTGTAAAACCTTAATGCAAAACTATACGAATTGGGCCGAATCTTTTAACACCTTAAACGTTGAAATTTGTCCACAAATAGGGGAGGAGTAGTGGTCACAAAAAACAGCCCTCACGTTAATATGAGAGATGATAATATAGGCTATACCAAAAACAAAAATAGAATATTTATTTTACTTAAATTGCCAGTGAATAAACAATTATTTTTTCATTAGGCGTATAAATATATATGTACCAAATTTGTACAAAAAAGTATGCCCTACATTGTAATTGCCCTACTGTTAACATTAAAATATATCAATTATATAATTTTCACTTCATTTTCAACTTATGGTTATAGAATTTTTCTTCATTTCAATAATCAATGGCATAAATAAACCTACCACATAGTTGTGTAAACTACATAATGTTTACAATCATGGTTTACAATTAACATGTTTTTCTTCTTACTGTACTTCTAATTTCTGACAACAGCTGGAGTTACATAACAATGTCTGTTTCCCATGAATCTTATGGAGAAATACGAAACTTTAAAGGGTCCCTCTCTCTGCGGCGGTTATGTTAGGTTGGGTTATCCTAAATATGTTGGTTGGACTTTCTTAGTTTCGCTATGAATGGAATGATACCAGATGAGTCATACCATAGCCAAATCCCCTCCAAGTAGGCCAAGGTCAGGTCGTTGACCAATGGCCGGAGCGCGCGTATCACCTGTCACCACCTGAATCTAAGGTATCGTCACTCATTGGGTATCGTTAGATTCAAAACGAAACGAGGAAACCCAACCTAAAATAACCGCCACAGCGCGCAGTATACACACTCGGTGGAGTTCATGTGGCAGCTAGGGGCGGTGACGTATTCAACTCAATCTTCGCCGACACCGCTGCCTTCTGGGAGGCAGCTAGAACTCAAAAACCGCTAATTGCAATCATGTCAAATTTGGACAGTAAGTTAATTAAAGTATGTTCTTTCTAATTATGTAGTTATTTTTGGTCTTAGGTAAAAATCCCTCTAAAACAAGTAGCCTCCGAATAATACCAAAGTAACGGTACGGTATTTCCTGAAGCATGAAATGGAATTTCAAGCAGAACATCAAAATTTCAATATAAATATTTGTTTAAGATATCTCCTAATGAGTTTTTTTGGAATATATCTGTCTGGTATGAACTTCTCTGGGCAATACCCTTGACTCAGAGGTCAAAGTACATTACCCGGTTGGGTCGAGTCTAGTTCTGTATCCTTTCTCAAATTCTTCTAAATAGAAAAACAGGTGCGCGCTAGTCCACACAAAGCACATTTTAGTCTGTTGTACTCTATATCAACGATGTATATTTTTTTAATGTTTTTGGTTGAATGTATTATTATTTTCACCACAATACGGTTTTAAGATAAATTATAACCGAACACATTTTCGTCATTTTTGTTTAGGCCGTACACACGTGAATTACAATTAATAAATGAAGTTTTTAGGTAACTTATTTTGTAATCCATTGTCATAATGCTGAAAAAGAAAATAAGAATGGGTATTATACCAGGTATACACCTACAAAAAATCCTAAGAAACTAATAACTTATTTTTCAAAATTATTTAAGTTTCATGTTTTTGTCTTCAATGAAAATATGCAAAAACATAATTAATATTTTTATTTTTATTCTAGAATGACCCTTTATCGTTAATTAATTTTAGTGAGTTTATCTTACAATTTTTTTTAAACAATAACCCTTGATTAAAAGGAAAAGTTGTCTTGCGTGGATGCGTGTACTTTATTTCTATGGCAGATCTTTATAGGAAAACGATTCGAAAATTAATGAATTAACAATAACTAATGTAGTTAACTTAACAGTAAACTCGATAAAACATGTCCAGGTAAACTGCAAAAAGTGATGCATTTTATAATATAAACAGAAAACAGCGGTTTTTGCCAACAAAGATGGCGGGTTGTCGTGTACACCCCATGTTAACTCTCGTCAACCCGCCACCTCGCCTGTAAGCGACAACGTGCCACCACGTCAACCCACCATCACTATTTTATGAGGTGGCGGGTTGTCGTGTACGCTCAATGTTCGGTATCGTCAACCCGCCACCTCACACGTAGACGTCAACCAGCCACCACGTCAACCTGCCACCACACTAAAGAGGTGGCTGGTTGACGTGTATGAACACGTCTAAGCACCACCAGGACAACGTGCCACCACGACAACCCACCACCACACATTTTTCCGAGGTGGCGGGTTGTCGTGCACGCTAGAGTCAACGTGCCACCCCGACAACGAGCCACCACGTCAACCCGCCACCTCAAACTTCTTCTTCTTTTTGATGGCGGGTTGACGTGGTGGCGGGTTGACGTGGTGGCGCCTTGGCGCGTTCCCAAATTCCGACGACCCGTTCGATTGAATGTAATATAAAACCAACGCCCACTCTGACGTCATCTCTATTAGTTATGCATTCTATTCTACCATAGCCGTCAGAGACAGACGGCTATGATTCTACACCATGTGAGCAATTAATGAGGGTTTCAGTCCATGTTTTCGTTGCTTAGCAACCCGATGTATTTGTTTATTGTTTGTTCGGTTCGGTTTAGGTAGGAAGCACGGTAGGAAGGAGAGGAGAAGGAGAAGGAGGTAACAACAGCAATAAGTTATTGTTTGAAGACTGTATTGTTTTTACTCTATTTTAGAGTAAATAGTTGAGTAGTGGAGTTTTATATAGTTGTTCTGTTAAATAAATTATACTTTAGATGGACTCTCATTTTCATTATAAAGAGACGAAAGTGATGATCTCTAACCTGAACTAGGCTTGCAGAAATCACAGGTAGGGTATGGCTTTCCCTTATTTAATCGCTTATTTTCAATTTGATATCTAACAGTAAACAAGATGTTAAAAGGTACGATAAGTTTTTTAATTACTTCAAATAAAAGGTACAATCACAGTGAATGGCCAATTAGATTGAGGTTCTACATCTAAGTTATGTTTGTATCCAAAAAGCATAAATGTATGCCAACTAAAAATGAGTACCTACAAATTAATTCAAAAGGTTTTACTGCATGAGCAAGGTATATCTTTATTCTTAGTTGATCAAGCTAATAACAAATATTGATTTAAATATACATTAACTTAACTTCAAAAGTTAAATGCATTTTTCTATACCGGTACTTAAGTAAAAGCGTTTAATATTTTAATTTGGGTTCTACCTATTCCGGCTAGCTACTGGAACCGTGGTGTTGTCCTGTAATCCAGCTATTTGGAGGTCACGAATTGTGGATATTTATAGGCATGCACTGTGGATGCGATACTCCCTGGTGTGGTGTGGTATAGTAGTATTAACCATAGGGTGGTTTTTTAATATTTCAGAAATAAGTTAAATTATGTTTTTATGCTATGTTTGTTCAAACTTGGGGTTTATATTAGGCTATGTTGGACAAGGGACTCAACAATTTCTAATTTTTTAAAAATAAAGATCATTAAAGTTTCTGTATTAATAGGGCCTAAGTTAATCATTCATATTAGAACCTCTAGGATAATCAGATTTGTTCGTGTCAAAGCCTGTGACATTTTAAAGTTGAGAACATTGAACACCTTAAAAGGAAATTAGTCAAAAATATCTAGAGGCGCCAGGGACCGAGTCCGTCCAAAGTCCAAGACACTAACAAAACCACCATCAGCTTTAAGAAAAATAAAATAATAAAAATACCCCCTCTGCAGCAAACCTGCAGACTAAGCGAATTTCCATCTACCTGGCTGGAATGCCAACTAAATTATTCCCTTAAAATTGTCAGATTTATTTCCTATTTAAATATCATTAATTTTAATGAGTAGGCTACTATAAGATTTGCTGCTACAGGGAAGAAAATAGGGGATTTTATTAAAATAATGATAGCTTTAGTATGAAGTATTTAAACAAAATTTCAAAATTTCATAAAAATATGTCCATATGCTTCAATATACTAAATGATTTGTTTTTTGAGCTCTACAAAATGGTTTGGAAATAAATTACAAAATGTGATTTATTACAGGGTGAAAAATTAGAAAAACCCATTTTTACCCCATAAAACCCCCCATACACCCTTATTCCCATAGTCTGATCATGCTGGTTCGCAAACTCGTTCGAATAAATGTAGGTTTACACGTTTGTACTGTTTGTATCAAATTTCATCAATATCGGATCATTTTTGCTTGAGTTATCGTGCTAACGGACATATATACGGACATATATTAATATATATATGAATTTGAACGGATGGTGTTTTTGGCCTCTGGGGACCTCAAAACGAAAAAATAAATTGGTCCCGGGTCCAGGTCTTACCATTAGACATTCGGTAATAGCTACTTCCCTAGATAGGGAAACTCGCTAAAAACAAAAAAAAATAAATAAAAGTAAAGCACACTTGAAGAAAATAGAAGTTAATGATGTCTCTTTTTTGGGTAGGCTAGGTATTTTCTTTTTGATAACGTAGTTGTTGCCTATTTTGTTTTTGCTATGGAATAATCAATACAAATGTTTGTTATTTTTATAGGATCCATGATTGAATGGCGGAGCTGTATGCAATCGGTCAGATAGTTGGAGCTACAAAATTTCCAAAAGCAACATTATTCTGCAAATGGGGGATACGGACAGGTATTTTCATGTGTTCCACTTATTTGAATAGTAACTATGCTGGTTCTAAAATATCTGTATTTGTCATAATTTAAATCAATTTATACAAACTTCATTAAAAATGCTATAATTTTTATATTTTTCCAAGTTATTTCTTAATTTGGCTGTATTTAAATATGTTGTTGCATTTGGAAATGTAATTGACTTCATCTGAACATTCATACTGGCTTTTCATGGAAATACTTCTTGAATCTACTTTAGATGCCTCTAGAGCTAATGATCTCTACCATTTGACTGAAATTCAGTTCGGGGCCCATTAACAGTTGTTCTCTTTTGTATTTTTCTTTGATTCCTCTGATGAACTGTTTTTGAGTGAGTGGAGGAAAGTAAAAATAGACGAAATTCATCTCAATATTCTGAGATTCTATAATGAGATCAAAATTATATTAAATCAGCCTACTTTGCTTATTTTCAATCCATTTTTAGATACAATATTATCTTTTACGGAAATTGCAGTAGGATAGAGGAAATTTTAGTCTTACAAAAGAAGTTGGTTAGAATTATATCTTATGAACCCCAACAGGAACACTGTAAACCCCTGTTCATTCAGCCACAAATTCCAACAGTGATTAACATTTATTTATTTGACTCTGTATCATATACCGGTATTCTAAAAAATCCCAACCTCAAACAAAATTCTCATGTTCATATACAAAGGAATAAAAACGTTGCTACGGTACCATAGATTTTTTCAGACTGTCTAAAACTCTTAAAAGATATGGGATGTGGAAAGCGAATAGGGACCTCTTGTCGGGAATTTTCGATTTTGAGTTATATATATATTTGAATTCCTTATTGAATTCTGAATTACTTGGTGCAAATTCCATGCATCTACGATTTTTTCTGTTAAAGTTATAGGACTTTGAAGTTTTGTTATGGAAAAGGGTCATTTTGAGAAAAACTGTTTTGAACATTTCAAATACGGATAAAAACAGTTTTTTCATATTTAAGAAACGATTTTAGTATAAAAAGAAAGCTTATAATGTTCTCTTTGGAGGCAATACCAATTTTTGTCTTAACTCACGGTAGTTTTCATTTAAATAATTGTTTTATTGAAGCATGTCGTAAAAATCACACTTCAGAAAAGGGACCTCTTGTCGGCCCCATGTTTCTCCATAAGATAATAAAAGGTACCTCTTGTCGGGACCGCCAAATTTGTGAGATATTTTGTTCTCCGTAAACTGAATTTGTTGTAGTTCTCTAAATTTACACTAGAATGCAGGACAATTCATTTTTTGGACTAAAGTTTGTTTATAAAGTGAATATTAAAAATGGGACCTCTTCTCGTTATGGCGAAATAACATTGAGCGACAAGAGGTCCCTTTTTTCAGACCGTGCAGAGGCTAACAAAATGATTTATTTCGACCTTTTACAACTTCAATTCGTTATTTTAACTGATACTGTCCTGTTCTATGTTGAATGAGGTATAACAATCGATAAAACCCGAATTTTGATATTTTTGACCTTAATTACTTACTATTGGCCTTACTGAAAATTTTGCATCGCCGACAAGAGGTCCCTTTTCACTTTCCACATATTGTAATCTCACTAAAAATATACAACAAGCTAATACATTTAATACGAAAATACCCTGATGGCTTTTGAACAACCCCTTCTATTCTCGAAAAGATTTTTTTTTAATGCCTGGTATTAATTGTTAAGTAGAGTTAGCAAATTGAACAAAGTACTGTTGGATTTTGTTGGTTGGATATGCGGTTTAATCACTTCCATTATTCTCAATGCCACAAATTTTTCTTATGAATAAGATTATTCAATTTTAATATTAAAATATATAACCAGTCTCATTTTGTGTAGTTGGCTATATTGTTTATTGACTGACTATGCTATAACTTTAGCTGTTTTATGACATTGTCAATAATTTGTAAAAATGCAAAGGACAATAAACACATTCCATTTCAATAGTACTGTGGATTATCTTAAAGTATTAGTAATTTTTAAAATTTAGTAACAACATTTTAAGACTTATAAGAAAATATAGATTGATTTTCCTGGAACCAATATATTTCCTTTTCACAGGTAGTGGATGGAAGGTAATTGAAGGACATACCGAGGGACAGACACAAATAGACAGTCCTGACTTTGACGAGTTTACATACTGGAGCCACCCAATTGACGTTCATTATGCTACCAAAGGTATTCAAGGTAGGCGTTTGAACTACTACATCCAGCTTGAAAAAACTTTGTGTGTCTGCGTATAAAATAGACTATCTGTGGTGTAGGTGTAGAAGAGCAAAAAATAAAAAGTTCATGATGGTATTACATCCTCCGGATTATTTGTAAAATCTTAAATATTTGGTAAATATATGCATTCAACCCACTTATTATACTTACTCCAGCTAGCAACTAAGTTAGTTTTGGGACCATATTGGTGATATAGTTTCGATTCATGTTATTTAATTTACTCATGGCTATATACACGTTTTATCACCTACTCACATAATGAAAAATGTTTACACTCAAGGTATATATTATTTAGGCTTTAAATTACAACCTTGCACAAAATGGTGAATTTACCTGGAATATAAACAGAGAATTAACACCATGATAAGAAGTAATAAACCATATAAAAAAAGCTATAAAACAAAGAAATAGGCTCCGGCACAAAACAAAGAATAAAAAATATAAACGGATTACCTAGCTGTTACAGATTATCCATTAGTGTCTGTTGATTTGTTGGGACCATATTGGTGATATAGTTTCGATTCATGTTATTTAATTTACTCATGGCTATATAAACATTTTATTACTCACATAATGAAAAATGTTTACACTCAAGGTATACAGGGTTAGGCAAAAGTCTGGAACCCCCCAGTTAACTTTTTAACGCGTTACAGTAGGAAAACCAAACTCAGGCACATATTTACAACATAAGAAATTGCACTATTTCATCAAAGTTATAACATTGCCCCAGCCCCCAAAATGGGGCACCTATTTTGGGGGCAACCCCAAATTTTCAAATGTAAACACCTGTCACGTGACCCCTCATTTTAAAGGGTTTATCAAGATAAATTGATTGGCGCAAACCAGAGGTCAATATCGCAACCCCAATCAAGATGGCAGCCATTTTAATTTAAGATGAGCAAGCAAGATAAAGTCTGGACACCCCAGTTAACTTTATAACGTGTGGCAGTGGGGAAACCAAACTTGGCACATTTTTACAACATAAAAAATGCACTTTTTCATTAAAGTTAGAACTTGTACCCGGCCCCCAAAATGGGGTGTTTTGGGGGCAGCCCAAAATTTTTAAAAGTAACCACCTATCATGTGACCCCTCATTTTAAAGGGTTTCTCAAGACAAATTAAATTTCGCAAACCAGAGGTCAATATCGCACCCGTAATCAAAATGGCCGTCATTTTGAAATATCCCCTATTAACTTTTTAACAGGTTATAGCAGGAAAACTAAACTCAGCATACCTTTATAAAAAAAGAATAAACCTTTTTCGTCAGTATTTAAATATTAAATTTTTAAAGTTAACTGGGGGTGTCCAGACTTTATTTTGCTTGCTCATCTTAAATAATTAAAATGGCTGCCATTTTGATTAGGAGTGTGATATTGACCTCTGGTTTGCACCATTCAATTTCTCTTGATAAACCCTTTAAAATGAGGGGTCACATGATAGGTGTTTACATTTGAAAATTTGGAGCTGCCTCCAAAATACCCCATTTTGGGGGCTGGGGCCAAGTTGTAACTTTGATGAAAAAGTGCAATTTCTTATGTTGTAAATATGTGCCGAGTTTGGTTTTCCTACTGCAACGCTAAAAAAGTTAACGGGGGGGGGGGGGGGTTCCAGACTTTTGCCTAACCCTGTATATTATTTAGGCTTTAAATTACAACTTCGCACAAAATGGTGAATTTACCTGGAATATAAACAGAGAATTAACACCATGATAAGAAGTAATAAACCATATAAAAAAGCAAAACAAGCTGTAGAAAGCAAGACATCCTGATATATTCTAAAATTTACAAGAATATATCAAGGTGTAAGCTTTATGAAATAAAGAAATAGGCACAAAACAAAGAATAAAAAATATAAACGGATTACATCTAGCTGTTACAGATTATCCAATCGTGTCTGTTGATTTGTGTACAAATTCTGTAAATAATTTGTTGGAATAAAGATATAATTCATTCATTCATTCATTCATTCATTGATTATTTATTCTTTCTACTTAAAAAATTTAAGGACCGACCCAAAAAAAGGTAAACTTGTAAATTACTAAGTTTTGCAGGCTGGCCCAAGATCCATTTCCAGGTGTTTCACTATGACCACTACGGCCGCAGTGAGTTGTACAGTTACGGAGTATGTCATCTGCCTACAACTCCTGGGACTCACACAATAGAGTGCTGCACCTGGCGGCCTGTAGGTGAGGACAGTGAATCACTGAAAATAAACTGGTAGTGTAGTTTTAAACTGCCCATGGATTTGTACTGGCTACAGAACAGTGTTGGTTTGCCCTAGTCAACTTTATTTTGACAGAATTATTAAAAAAATCAGCTGTTGCTGCTGCTTGCATAGCCTATATACTAGCTGCCTACATCTGCATGTCAACTCGCAGCTATTATGGCAGTGTCTCCTCATATAGCTGAGAGTAATGGAATTTTAGTTTCAAGCCTGTTCTCTTGGTATCACCATTAAATATGTTAAAATACCTCTACTAAAACTACGGTAATAAAATTTTGGTTAGAAAACACATTTATCACCAAAAAGAAGCTGACGATCCTTCTAAGCCTTTGAGTGTTTTTAAATTGATCAGTACTAACGGCTATATCTGAGCAGCAATAACAACCAATCTAACATTTTTCTGAGCTGCTTTGCAAATACTGTAGCCATTGTACAGCTAAAATAAGCCAGTACTGTAGACAACCTAACAATAATACCGGTGCTCTTTTCGGACAATCAAAGGTTCCATAAAATACATTGACCATCTAACTTGGAGTTGCCTAACTTGGAAATGACTAGGCCTAGTAAACGAGTTCAGTGAGAAATGACTAATGAGTGCAATTGTTGAAGAGAGAAATCTTTCAAGCAGTTGTCAATACTGTATATTCAAACAAGGTGTTTACAGTGATTGTAGAATATCCCACTAAGGTGCACAGGGTATCGCCGGCTATAGTTTTCACAACACCTCATAATAAGTTTTGGTTCATAAGTTGTCAGTGTTCCCCTAGTAATCTGACCCTGATCCCCCCCCCCCCCAGAATATATGTCTAGGGCCGCCCTTGCAACCAAGTCAGTCAATCAAGAGGTTGACACACAGTTTGATCCTGAGAAAAACTATTACCTAGCTATTTGATGGTTTGAAACTTTACCCAGCTGTCCTCCATCAGTGCGCTTTTAATAAATGGTTCTGGCTAAAGAAACATCTGGTATTTGTCAGTAACAAAGCTATTCAAGGCATCTCACGTCACTCTACACTCATCCTTCACTAATGTTGATGGTAATAATACTATAACGGGGAGCGAGCTGGCGTAGTGGTTAGAGCGCGGGACTTCAGTCCCTGAGGTCCCGGGTTCGATCCCCGCCAAGTCACCAATGGATTTTATCTAAGTGATAATGCCGCGACCCCTAGGTCTAGCCTGAAGTAATGTGAAAAACAATCCCAGGTTCGTGCCTAGATAAAAAAAAATAGTAATACTATAATGTGATTTTGAATGGCTTGGCAAAATTTGGTTTAGTTAGAAAAAATCCACATATTTATGCTTGTAAATATTCTTCTACAGGTTCATACCGAGAAGAATTCCAACAATATTTCCTGGGTGGTGGAGTTCAGCTTCAAGATCCGGAGTTGATCTACTCTGGATGTAACCGGTACAAACTCCAAACACAAACCATGGGAAATGTGCATTTGGAGTTGAGTGTCATACTGAGGAACTTTGAAAAATACAGGCTAGAGTTCTAGAACTGCAGTAAGTGTTGCAAAGAAAGGAAAAAATCTTCTGATTTAAAAATGAAGATTGCAGTGTTGACTCTACTGGTCGTACTTGTTACGAGTCAAGATGTGGACCAAGTAGAAGAGACTACTGTGGAGTTGTGTGGAAACAGCACAGAAGAGAGTTGTGATGCCTTTAATAGCACTGAAGTTCCTACTGAACCACCTACCGAAGTGACTACAGCAGCCAGCAAGAAAGTTACGAGTAAAAAGCCCAAGACTACTACTGCCAAGTCAGTGACAAAAAAAACTCCAGCCAAAAATGGCTCCAATATTCTATCACCTCAAGCAGACTGCACTTGCGATCTCACAGTAAGTGAATTCACAGATTGGTGAATTAAGAATAGTTACGGTACTAAACAGTTTTAGAGTTTAACTAATTAACTGATCAAAAATATTAACATGGGCTTAATATAAAATATTATTATATGTTTTGCTCTGGAAATTATGATGCCAGTTTTTTTCCAAGGCCTTCAATGTCTAAAAATACCTATTTCCCAAACTCAAATTCGAGGGTTTACGTTTTCAATTTGAAGAAAGAGAGCTTAATTTGAGGGGAAATTCAGTAGAAGGGTATATTAGCTGGGACCTATTTCTCTAGAGCTTTTTTTACTTAACGATATGTTAAAGAGAAATTTCCTATTAAATACAAATACTGAATACCATATGGATTTACTGCTTTAAAAAACTGTCCGTGTTGAGGGAACCTGGCGAATCTTTTAGAAAGGAATAGTTTTTAGATTTCAGTTCCAGAACATCAAGTTCTAGAAATTCAGTATTCTCCTAACATACCATTACTAATAGTCAGGCTAGTCTCCCACATAATTGGTATATTCCAAATCTATGGCTGTTGTCCCCTGAATACTTTCTAGGTTATAGTTCTACATGTGAATCAGCAGGATTTATGATAGACATAAAACAAAAACTTTTGGAGGATCTGAACCAGATACTGGCTTTGCTGTTTAACAATGAGCCTTGTTATAAATGGGCTTTTTATTTAAAATAATTATCTTCTGAAACACTAATCACAAAATATAAAGTTTACAGTAAATCAATAAAAAAGGTTTTAACTTGAACTAAGATTGTGATATTCCCCAGTAGAACTGTTCCTCTTCAGTGAGTAATAAACAGTAAGTTATAACCACTATATTAATGTTCAAGCGGGGAGGCTGCGAGATGAATTGTTGCTGCGATGTAGACTGCAGTGAGTCGCAGCGTGCAGTGTTTACAGAATGTGCTGCATTGGCTGCTGCGGACAACATGGACTGTGTTCCTCCGCAGCTGGTCTTCCGCAGCAACAGTAATCAGACTGTCTTGTCAGAAGGAATGCTCTGCGTTCTGCAGCAAAACACACACTTCTCTACCAACTACAGAGATGTTCCGGTAAGCAGAAATGAGGGGAAAAGAATAATTACGAGGGTTTTACGTAAATTAAGGTAACCAATGAGCTTCAGTTACAACCAAAAGAGGTAGCTCAGTTCTGATTACAGATATTCTTTATTTCTCTCACTAGTCGCTTCTATTCTAGCCCTATATGGCAAATAGTCAAGTGGTCAGTACTTTTGAAAAGGAACTGTTCCCAAAGGTTATCTTGTATAACTTCTCTAAACAAATTTTAAAATTCGAAAGATGGTACAAAATACTCTTTCAATACAACCTCCGGGATAGCTTTTTGGTAGGAAAAATACCTCTGTCTCTTTTTCTCATGAACACCTATCCGAACTTCAAATATTTCAGTCTCAGTACTAACAAACACTTGAGGTTCAGTCATTGTGTATAGTTTTTCTTACATTTTACAGTTACAGTTGAAGTGTTTACAAAAATTGTTTTACCCGCCCTAGCTGTGACCAATTTAGATAGTTTAATTAAGCCTGTACTGTATTGGGAAATAAATATTTTTTCCACAAGGTGGTGAGGACTTTGACAGCACTCAAGGCCAAGATTGATAATCAAAAGTATTATTCTTGGGTGAAGCCACAACCCTCTATGGCTGTGTTTGATCCGGAAAGTGCCTACAAAGACGGGTCCCCTCTCTGGACCACTGACAACTCCACCATAACAACATTAGGTAACCCAAGTACATATGATTGATGTGAAATGAACCAAACTGGCAAATGTTGCCATTTCATTATTGAAAGTTTTCTGTTCAGCTTTGAGTAGGATGGGTTTTAACAATGATTTATCCTTTGAGTCTTGGATTAATAAAAAAATTGTTTAGTTTAGATTAACAGCTTTATCTAGTGATCTGTCTTTAGTAGGTCACTATAGTTCATCTTCTTAAGGTATTACAGGAACATCAAGGAATATGGTATTCAGTTAGAGGTAATAAAATGACAAAATCATTGAAATCACACACATATCTCGTGACAATAAAATCTCGTGACATGGAAAAACCTCTTGTAATGTTTCTTTAACACCAGAAGGTGAACACTCTAGAAACCACAGTTGTGTACTAAATACAAATTTATTTCTCAACAGATCAGCCAATAAAAAAACCATTAAAAATACGGGGCCTCAGAAAACCTGCAGACTAAGCAAATTTTGATTTACCTGGCTGGATTTCCAAAAAATAGTCATATTTATTTCCTACTTAAATAACATGAATTGAAATATTGATAGCTTAGTATCATATAAACGAATGTTATTAAAATATGTCCATAAACAAGCAAACCACAACAGTTTATTTATTCTCCATAAGACTAACATGGGAATTTTAAATCTGCCCTTTTTGGAAATTTATCTGTAACCATCAGGCATACAACAACGCTTCCATATTGTAAATTATTTCTTTTTTAAGCTCTACTAAATTTTTTACAAAGAAATTTAAAAATGTTATGTTTTTATGGTAAAAAATGGGAAAACCAATTTTTACCCCATAAAACCCCACACAAACCCCCCTTCCCATAGTCTGATAATGCTGGTTCACAAACTTGTTTGAATAAATGTGAGTTTACATTTTTAACCAAATTTCATTAAAACTGGATAGTTTTTGCTCAAGTTATTGTGCTAACGGCACACATGTAGATAGTAAACATACATATATAGGGTGTCCCACGAAGGGGTTTAAACGTTTGATTTTATATTACGCGCCCATTCATGCACCGAACTTTTTGAAACTTTACACAGTTTACAAGGTAGGTTTTAAAAATATTCTGGAAAAATTTCAACTCCCTAACCTTAGAAGAAACAAAATGGTGGCATATTGAAAAAGTTACTTTAAAACATTAAAAAAGGTATTTTTGGTTTTATAAAATATTTTTATTGTTACTTTCCAGGGCAATATGACTTTAAAAAAAGAAAAAATTAGAACATAGCCAAATGGAAAACTAAAAATTAATCAAATAACTAATAAATAATAATAATAAATAAATAACTAATAATAAACCATGAAAGTAGTTTTTATAGAAAGCACATTGGTAAATTTGTCAATAAGCCGCCATTTTGTTTCTACTAAGGTTAGGGAGTTGAAATTTTTCCAGAATATTTTTAGAACCTACTTTGTAAACTGTGTAAAGTTTAAAAAGGTTTGGTGCATGAATGGGCACGTAATATAAAATCAAACGTTTAAACCCCTTCGTGGGACACCCGGTATATGTGCACTTGAACAGACTGTGATTTTGGTCTCTGGGGACCTCAAAACAAAAAATTAAATCAGACCTGCGTCCAGGTCTTACTCTTACCGTGAGACCTAGGGTAATAGCTTATTCCCTATGGGAAATCCGCTAAAAAAGGATTAGCAATAATGAGGAACAAATTAACAAAATTAATTCTTGAGCTCTAGAGGAATAATTGATTGTTTGATTTAATCATGTTTTTCTCCTTGTGGAAACAAAATCTAAATAATTAGGTATAAAAGTGTTATGTGGACACTCAATCAGTACAAGAATTTTCTTCGGGTCTCTTAATTTTCAGTTCTTTTATTTTGGGCGTTTGTGTAAAGGTATCTTTAATGGCTTTTTTCTTTGCAGTGTTTGTTCCTTTAACCCACCGTTTTAACCAAGGAAATTTGATTACCACATTGCCCTTTAAATGTTTCAAGCCTTGCCTACAACTGGAGCGTTCAGCACTGAGTGTGTAGGGATAGTTACGGCCAAATACTTGGTAGACGTTGAGACATCTTGTACTGTCTTCCTCCGAAACAAAACAGACTGTCTCACATCATCGTATACCAACTTCACTGTCATCTCATCACCTCTTAACTTCAACTTCACGGGTCCTCAGGTATGCATATCATTTGTGAAGTATGAAAAATACAGTGCCATTTTAGACAGTAAAATGTTTACAGAAGCACCATCTGTGTGTGGCTGATTTAATTACGGTACATTCAAATAAAATAAACAATTAATTGGGTATAGGATGGTTCATATATTATGGGATTACTACTCCAGTATACAAAAGTCAATGGTGCTAGTGCTAGTGTTTTCCCATCTGAAGACTGGGTTACATTTCACTTGATTTCAGGTTCTGAAAGGTTGTGCAATTTCAGTTTCACCATCAGTGATTGAGGGTGTCCACAATATTCCTTCAAACATCATACACTCTCCAAATCACTAGTAAAAATAGACATAAAGAGAGAAATTTTCTTGTGGATTTTTTATTAATTCCAGTCTTTTACTGATTCGTTCACTGTTTTCACATTATTCTCAAATATCACATATTTCAGGAATGTACCGAAGACATCTGTCTACCAATTCGTCAGTTTTTGTGCGCCAAATTCTGTGTTGAAGGAAAAGTTCCTCGCTCAAGTTACATTAGTTCCACACAGACTTGTATCAATGTCGTGGAGTCCGTCGAGTACAGAATATACCACAACGGGTCTCAGGGAGTGGTTGAATTAAAAGCCTTCTTTACACTAGCTAACTTCACCGTACGTGATGATCAACTTGTAAGAAAACAACATAGGGTTACGTTTAAGTGGGCCGGAAGTAACAGGGAGAAGATAGTGAGAGTTAGTGGTCACCCGGGGTACAAGAAGGGAAGGCCTGTCATATCGGGGAAGAAAACAGGCAAGACTATAACCTTGAACGGGTCCGAGAGTGAGTGGATCAATGTAGCAGTGGCTGGACCATCCGGGTTCTGTGAAAAAAGACACAATATCATGTTTGGAGAGAACTTGCAGTCACAGTGTGTCGCAAAAGTTAGCGGAACTTGCAAGCAGATTCAAAATCAGGTAAGTGTGCTTAACTGTATGCATTTCGGGTAGGTTGATGACCTCATTCAACCTTGCTTTATTGTTTGCTATTTATTTTTTAATGAGTTTGCCGGTCTTTTTTTAACCATGCATTTGCTTTTGTTCACTTAAAGATTAAAAGAGCTAAGTTTTTCTAGGAACTATAACAATCATCCTCCTAGTTGAGCATGATAATACATAGTAGTGGTATTCCTTTTTGTATCTTGATTGAGTTGATTCTAATATATTTTAAAATCTATGTCTTGTTAAAACTTCAAAATGGTGGGATTATATAGTGCTTATTTAACAATGTGAAGGTAGCTGGTTCAATTGTGTAAAACATAATAACTTTTTGATGGTTTGAAATTGGACCCAGTTGTTCTTGTTGGGCGCTGGCAAAATAGAGTGCTGATCTTAGTCAGCAATAGCCACAATGCAATGCATATTTTTTCATCCTACACTCATCCTTCCCTCATACAGCATTGTGTACCTGTCTTGATGTAATTTACTGAAGTGCAATAAATAATAAGTAATACAAACTAATTAGGGATCCAAGTTGTGTAGACTATTGAAAGTCCGGATTAAATCAAATAAATAGATCCACGACAAAGGAAGTGGTGAAGGAAGTAGTCAAGGCGAGCAGTGCGGTGTGTGGGAACCGTTGGTGGCAGTTAGATTAATGCATCTGCAACCAATGACTTTGGTTAATTAATGGACGAGAAGTTAGGATTGTTGTCGATTGAGATTTGGTTGATTTGCCCATACAAATTACATTGTGTTCACCAATGACACCGGTAAGTAGGCTAGGTGCGGGTGTACTCTTCCATTGTTGCGCTCACGCTCACTCATCCCGTTACGCGCAGAATAAGCGTACTACTAGTATAAAGAAAGGCAGCACTATTCCGGGACCATTTGGGTACCTACCTCCTTTACAAAAACAAAAATTTTTACGAATAAAAAAGCTTGAAAATATGCAATTTTTTAAACCCTTAACTACTGAAGCACTGTTGTAGGGATGAGCATCGATAGGTCAACCAAACCTCTGCCCGTCTTCAGTCTTAAAAATAGTCTGGGGATGATTAGTTTCTAAGCAAAGACCCATTATCAAATCCACATAAAATTGAATTTTGTCTATAAATCCGACTTAAGTTTTCATCAAAACGTATTCATAGGTGAACACATAAAGTTCATATTTACACACAAATACATTTAAAAAAACTGTAGGCCGGCCACATTAATTCACGGGACAAACCGACACAGGTTGTAAGACGACGGATCAATCAAAGTCTAGTTAACAATTGTAACTTACGTCAATCAATCCAGTTGTGTATTGGAGGGACGTACGTTTCGACCTTTAGGCCATCTTCAGCCCCGCTGTTACACTAAGTTCCATCCTTAGTTGCATTGTTGGTATAGCAACCGCGTCAAATATTTACAATTAAGAACATAAAAAACACGAAAACACGACATTGACGAAGACGACACATATTAACAAAACTATCACCGTGCGCACGGCTGAACGGGCTCGGGACTGCGGCGGCACTGACTTGTCTAAGTGTCCTGCTTTAGACTTTGGACCATGACGTCACTCACTCCTTCTTGCATTATCTGTCAGTCGAATAATGGTATCATATACAGGATTGGCGTCTGAATGAATTCTTTCATTTAAAATATTTTTATTTAGCTTGAAACCCTTGTATATGGCCATTTCTTCTAGTCTGTCAAGCCGCTGTCCTTTCTTTTCCCTCGCTAAGATTTCCAAATTACTGCCTATATTTGTATAAGTGTGCCCCTGTTCATTTAAGTGCTCCGCATATTTTGATTTAATATTTGTTCCTGGTGTTCTACTAATATTCTCAAGCTCTTTAACATGTTCTTTAAATCTCAATTCAAAAGATCTGCCCGTTTGTCCTATATAAAATGCGTTGCAGTCGTTACAATTAAGTTGGTATACACCTGAACCCTTGTATTTATTTGTATTGTTAGGTTTATTCGTACTGCTTAATATTTTCTGCAAATTGTTTTCTGATCTGAAAGATGGGGTGATATTTTGTTTTCTAAACGTTTTCTTGATAATGTGTTCAGTTTTCTTTGAATACCTGACAGATGCATACTTCTTGTTTGATTCTGAATGTGATACATTAGGTGATATGTATTTTGCCATACGTTTATTATACATTCTGTCAATAAGAGCTGGATCGTAACCATTTTGCTGGGCTATGTATTTTATGGTATTCAGTTCCTTCTGTTTGTCTGTAGTACTCATTGGTATATTAATTAGTCTATGTAACATGGAATTGAAAGCTGAGAGTTTATGTGATAACGGGTGATAAGAAGTTGCGTGGATTACTTGATCAGATTGTGTGGGCTTCCTGTATATTTTAAATTGATGCTTATTGTCAATATTGGATATGGATAGATCTAAGTAGTTTATGTTACCATTAGATTCGGTTTCTGAAGTAAAGGATATATTGTTATGTATGGAATTCAAATATTTTTCAAAGATAGCTGTTTGCCTCTTGTTGCCTTTGTATAAACACAAAACATCGTCCACATACCTCCACCAATAAATTATTTTACTATGGTATTGATTCCCTGCAAGTATTTTATTATTTTCTAAATTATGAATTATGAATATAATAAAATACTTGCAGGGAATCAATACCATAGTAAAATAATTTATTGGTGGAGGTATGTGGACGATGTTTTGTGTTTATACAAAGGCAACAAGAGGCAAACAGCTATCTTTGAAAAATATTTGAATTCCATACATAACAATATATCCTTTACTTCAGAAACCGAATCTAATGGTAACATAAACTACTTAGATCTATCCATATCCAATATTGACAATAAGCATCAATTTAAAATATACAGGAAGCCCACACAATCTGATCAAGTAATCCACGCAACTTCTTATCACCCGTTATCACATAAACTCTCAGCTTTCAATTCCATGTTACATAGACTAATTAATATACCAATGAGTACTACAGACAAACAGAAGGAACTGAATACCATAAAATACATAGCCCAGCAAAATGGTTACGATCCAGCTCTTATTGACAGAATGTATAATAAACGTATGGCAAAATACATATCATCTGATGTATCACATTCAGAATCAAACAAGAAGTATGCATCTGTCAGGTATTCAAAGAAAACTGAACACATTATCAAGAAAACGTTTAGAAAACAAAATATCACCCCATCTTTCAGATCAGAAAACAATTTGCAGAAAATATTAAGCAGTACGAATAAACCTAACAATACAAATAAATACAAGGGTTCAGGTGTATACCAACTTAATTGTAACGACTGCAACGCATTTTATATAGGACAAACGGGCAGATCTTTTGAATTGAGATTTAAAGAACATGTTAAAGAGCTTGAGAATATTAGTAGAACACCAGGAACAAATATTAAATCAAAATATGCGGAGCACTTAAATGAACAGGGGCACACTTATACAAATATAGGCAGTAATTTGGAAATCTTAGCGAGGGAAAAGAAAGGACAGCGGCTTGACAGACTAGAAGAAATGGCCATATACAAGGGTTTCAAGCTAAATAAAAATATTTTAAATGAAAGAATTCATTCAGACGCCAATCCTGTATATGATACCATTATTCGACTGACAGATAATGCAAGAAGGAGTGAGTGACGTCATGGTCCAAAGTCTAAAGCAGGACACTTAGACAAGTCAGTGCCGCCGCAGTCCCGAGCCCGTTCAGCCGTGCGCACGGTGATAGTTTTGTTAATATGTGTTCGTCTTCGTCAATGTCGTGTTTTCGTGTTTTTTATGTTCTTAATTGTAAATATTTGACGCGGTTGCTATACCAACAATTAGGGATGGACGAGATTGGATTTTTAGTTCGAGACGAGATTTTTTATTTCTCATAAAATTTCGAGACGAGATCGAGACGGGATTTCCCTTCTCATACACAACGGGAAATGCACGTTCGGAATTTTTACCTGATTTTTGTAACATTGTTAGATGACTGTTTAAATACAAAAATAATGATAATAGGCAAGAATATTTACAATCTTTTATTAAAAAACATCAGCATAACATTTTTTTATTAATCACGCCTAAATTATTAAAAATGCCTACGATTAGGAAACATAGTGATATCAGTTAGGATAGAGTTTAACTTATCCTAAAATAAAATAAATCATAAAATAAAATATTAATTTTTATAAAATAGTTACTTGTTTTGACTTTTTTTATAGTAATAAAACATTCCTCACACTGCTAACACTTAACAAAACTTCTCAAATGTAATTAAAATAATTAAAGTAATATTTACATTTGAAGAATTAATTAAATAAGAACGCCTTCGCAAAGGAAACGCAACTACAACACGCTCCTGTATTGCGGGTATTGCATTGACTTTCTGCAGGCGTTTTTAATTTTTTTTTTTTTTTTTTTTTATTCTCGTCTCGATAAAAATCTCGGCCAAAAAGAAATCTTGTCTCGTGTAACGAGATTTAAAATTTCCCGAAAATTTCCCGAAATTTCGAGACTTGACCATCCCTACCAACAATGCAACTAAGGATGGAACTTAGTGTAACAGCGGGGCTGAAGATGGCCTAAAGGTCGAAACGTACGTCCCTCCAATACACAACTGGATTGATTGACGTAAGTTACAATTGTTAATTCAAACATCAATCCGTTTGCTACAAATCAATCATGACAAAGTCTAGTATCTATGGTGTCCGGATCAATGAGGGTTTATTGTAGCTGGAAACTGAGAGGTCACAACGCTCACCAGGCATCAAAAGGTTGCCACTTCAATCCTGTGAAAAGTCAGTACAGTAGCTTTTTTGGTCATTGGAAATTTTACCCAGCTGTACTTGGTCAGGTGTACCCTGCTTGTAATACGTGGTCCTGACGAAAGAGTAAGTTAACAAAGCTGCACAGATCACCTCACACTACACGATCATCTTGCATTCATATTCATCTTGAAATACTAACTTAGGTGGTGATGCACCCTCAAAAGTAATTTTTTCTCACTGGCAAAGCTACAACTTTTCTATTTCCACAGCTATGGCAAGCTATGCTGGGACCTGGAGGTAATATGAGTGAGATGGTGGTATCAGCCTACGGAGATCCACGGGAGAGCGATGTGGAAGCGTGGGTGCCTCTAATAACAGCTGATCTGCCCCCTCTCCCAAGCCTCGTGTCAGCTGTTGACATCGTAGTGATTCACACTCTAGTTGGACATGCAACCAAACCTCAGACGAAAATAATCGGAGTTTTCCTCTCCCAGTCTTCCAAGACTACTTGTGCCACAAATCTCAACAGAGTTCTTGTCAAAGTGTCTGTAAAATTTGTCGATAAGACAGTCGCACCTGTGACAAAGTTTGCGCCTCCACCTGTCTACGAGATTAAACTACCTCAGGATTTTTTCTACCCGTTTTTGTCCTCAGGTGGGACGAGTTTGGCACAATCAATTGCGGTTGTTTTGGTAGTGGTAAAGTGTTTGTTTTAGTGTAAAGTGTGTTAAGTTGAACAATATTATTGGATCTTCAATAAGTTAATCCATAACTAAAATAGTTAATGAGATTATTGGGACTGTGGTTATTAGTGGGACTGATGGGTACAATCAGTATAATGTAGTTGAACTTTTAATGGCTTCTTATAGCTTTTTTAAACTTTTGTCATGATTAGAGCTTTAAAATTAACATGTTTAATAATACAGTGGAACCACAGGATCGGTTTAGTTTTGATGATGATATATTGTTGCTTGACTTATACCTGCGTAAAAATGTCTAAACTTACTTACTTAATGTATGATACGGTAGAGGTTTGCTATGACTAATTAATTGATTGGCAGTTAGTTTACGGTTGTGTAATGGTTATCAAGCTAAAGAGTAGAAAGGTAATAACTTAATGGGGAAGCAATGGCACCAACATGACTAGTGTGTGTGAAAGCAAGGTGGAATATGTAGGCTAGCCTTATTTCAACAGTATTAGCCCTTTTACATCTTAAACACAGCACGGAGTTACCATATCAGTTTTTCATCAAATCAATATTGTTAAACTCTGTTTGTCATCAAAATGTTCAACAAAATTATCCAAAGTTATATTTTTTAACCACCTCTAGAATTCAATATTTTAACACTGATCACAAGTTGAATAAAAGATAAATTGTGTTAAAGAAGGTTGGATTAAGCTTGTTTCACTGTAGTTAAATAAGAAACATTTTATTTTATGGCTTAGTCCAATTCTATGAAATGTGATTTTTAAATCAAGTTAGCAATGTTAAGAGATAGTTTATAATTTGTAATGATTGTTATAAATTGTGCCTTTACTTCACTCATACTTTTGACTAAAAAATCTTTGCTATTACTTAATGTGGAATGTAGACTTAAGAAAATATTGGATAATTATTGCGTAAAATGCCCAGTGTCATTGGTCATTACATTGCAAAGTTTATTCTTGAATAAAGATTTGATATAAACTGATCTTGTTTTATTATTTGAAATTTTCATCTTGTCCACAAAAGCTCCAATGTGATTCAAAAGTATAAGTATTGTTAACAATTACAATAATTAAGCATAATTAAAATTCCTGACCAATATTGATGTTCTCCATTCTATAACCTTGCATAACTATTACATTAAACCAATGCTAATCTTATAGTATAAATCCAAAAAAAAATTATTTAGCAGGAACTTCTTTAAAGTAAAACCCAATCTGACGATCTAAAAAATTAAAATTAATATTGGAGGAGACGAATAACGAAAAATATGTTGTAAAATAAATAGAAATTGTAACAAAAATGTAAATCTGCATTCCTTGTATAATTTAAAGATTATGAGGGGAAAGACAATTCATAGTTGTGAATCTATAGAGTTATATATTTACTTATATACATAGTTAATTACATTGTTTTGTTAAATACATAGTTCTTAAACTATCTGGGAACATTGTTAAATATAAATTAAAACTATTATTATTCATGTGCCTAATTTTAGACTGTAATGTTATATACAATTATTATTAAAGAGTTGTGTCTGATCGCCAATGCAGTTTTGAATATTATGTTTAACATTTAAAGCAAATACTTGAGTTAGCTTAAAAATCACCTTTAAGGCAGCTAACTAAATTATTAGATGCCTTGAATTTTTAACGGAATAATTTATTACTTCCCATCAAACACAAATTTTAAAGATGTTTTAATAAAGCGAATGAACAATAAAAAATCACAGTTATCAATAAAATTGAGATTTTATCTCAACAATTTCCATGCAGCTTTTATTTTGAAGGCACCTTTTATTGAATAAATTGAGCCAGCTTTGGTATATTCATATTAAACAGTCATCAAATACTTTTCCTTCCTTACAAACATTTTAACTTATTCTACATGTAAATTGTAGCAACTTTTGGTACATTAAAATCAGTTTTATCAACATACTCAATACATCCTTACGTTGTTAACAATCTTTTAGTACTTGCTCTTTTTTGTAACAAAATAATAGATCCAATCATATTAAATTTATTTTTACATTAGTAATCTTTAGTGTCATTATTTTACATCAAAAGATGAGCCTATATTTTACAAACTACAACTGGTACTGTTTTAAACTATACTTCATTCTTTATTATATTAACTTCCGTAATATTTACTTTCACAAATAAATCACTATAAAGCTCGTGAAAGCTATAATAAGTAAGTAGTAGCTTGTGAAGTAATACAAGTAAATGCTAATAAACTCTATTTGAAATGTGTAGAGCTTAAGAGTCAACTAAAGGGAAATATATTGCCTTCTAAAATAGTGGACATTAAAGCTGAAAACAGGACTATTTTGAGCTATTGCACCAGATATTCCGGTTACAATTATAAGGAACAATATGGCACATACACCTCCGTATCACTTGACTAATTCAGTTAGCAATTTAACTCAGTCTCAGATTATATGTGTTGAGGGGTGGCTGGTGTAATAGTTAGAGCAATGGACTTCGGTCCTTGAGGCCTCGGGTTCAAATCTTGCCAACCACAATAGCTTTTAGCTATGTGGTAATGCCCCAGTAGTTAGGAGCTCATCTTAAGATGTAGCTCCGCCTGTTTCAAAATTTACAATTATTTTGGAAGACAAACAGATGATTTCAAAATATTCAGAGTGTTAAACTCAGTCTAGTATAAATATTGACAAAATCTCAAAATTTTTAAGCTAATTTACACTTTATCCAAATTATGTAAAAACACAGCAACACAATTTTTTGTTGCCTGAGAGCCCAATATTTTCATTGCAATGAAATTCAGTTAAAAGTTACAATTAAATTGCTACACAGAGATCATCAAATGACACAGATGGATTATAACTATTATTAGAGCCTTTGAACTAGGGAAGTGGTATTTGCCACTTTTTAGAAGGCACTCTGGCTTATAGAATCAGAATGGATATAAACTACAAACTCAGTTTTGATACATACTGTACGCTATGTTCTTACAAATGTACAAGTTTACTACGTGCATTCACAAATGATATGATTGTTGGTAATAAATTATTTTATTTTATTAGGGCAAGCATGTGTTGTTTAACTGTTGGGTGCTGTTTTGAATTCTGACTGCATAAACATAAAATAATTGATTAAAGTAAAAACAGAGCGTTATTGCTTATTTGTACACGAATATCTTTTCACGATTACCACACAAAAACAGTCAATTAGCATTTAACAGACACATGCCCCAATAAAACTATTACGATTATTTCATATCTAAATAATAAGTTAATGTATAACAGACAAAGACAAATAAATTGAATATTTTACATCCTCTGATAGAATAAACCAAACTACATACATATAAACACACATCATACATATAGCAACCAAATATTTAACAATAATTAAAACTTTCTTTACATCGGTAAATCCACCGAATCGTTATATCTTCGTGATGAACACACTAACACAAATTTAGTATGTATTTACAATATAAACAGATATAAAATCATATTTCATGAAATATTAACAAAAATAAACTAACGTTGTACTTGGTTCAGAATAAAGAACTTAACGATAAGACAACTAATTATTTGTCATTCACAGCAAAAAAGGCAATAGCTCAACAATTAAATAGCACAATAAAATAAAAGATTAAACAAATAAATATTAAAAATCGAGTTAAAAGTTAAAAACCATGCAAGGCTTAGTGATACATCCATTTTTACTTGTAATAAATTTTAAAATTTATCACTCGACTAAGAAAGTTAAACTTTCTCGTAACTTGACTACTTCATACATTCGCTACCTACTCTTCTTTATCTTCTGCACAGTCTAAAAGTAATTGGACAGCCAAAATTGATTTTGAATCTATTGTGCCAACAAACATGCAAAGAGAACTAACTAAATTATCTATCGTAATTCATAAGTCTGGTGTAAAGATTCAGATGTCTAGGAAGGGTTAAGCGCTGTGTCTCCATCAGACAATGTTTGACTTCCCTTGGCTGCTGTTCATCATCACCTTGGATACAAAGTTTACAATGGCTGTCGCAGGCTGTTCAGGCTCCAGCTCCGCAAAGATGTGACACTGATTGTCAGTTTTGCTGGCGGGCTTTCTTGCAACAAAACCGAAACACCGACTGTAAGAAAAATAACCAATATGTCAGACAAGTGTTGCGGTGAGATAACTATTTTGTTCAAATTGGTAAAACCAAAGGAATAAAGGGATTTGTTTGGATTGATTAGAAATAGGACAAACATGTTTTAAAGGAAATGTTTCTATAATTCCAAACGTACAGTAGTTTTTATGTGGGTAGATTTGATCATTTATTAATCCTTCATAGGTGCAAACAGACTAAGGTTGGGTTCAAATGGGAATGACCAAAGGACTTGTTAAGCTACTGGCCAGTTAAACACCTAAGGCAGTAAAGGTGTACATAAAGTAATTCATCGTATCTGACAACAGAATAACCGACCTTTCTCAATTGTTTTTATTAGGAACAAGGCACATTCTATAATCTTTCAAAGGTTTAAAGTTTTTTACACTAAATAAGATCTCCAGGTTATATCGGCAGAGGTAAGGCCCATCAGTAGAATTTGGAGTCCCTTGGCTGAGAAAAAGCGGTAAAATGGCCTGGTTTCCGAATCGAACTCTTGATAATTCAAATTCATCACCAATTTCGAACTATCAAGAGTCTACTGTAATAGTTGATTTAACTTTCTCTATTTGCAGAATCTTTGCTATTCCTCTATTTTCCCAGTTCGCAGTAGCAGCTTTTTTTATTGCCTTCAATAACAGTTTTTTGTGATCTGGCACTGTTAATGTCCCGAAGGTGCCAAATTAGAGAGGATAGGTAAGGCAGTTGGTTTGTTAAGGAAGGGTGATTAAAAAAAGAAGTGATTACAGAATACTTCGTACTTAGAGCTTATAGGCATTCCAGCCTCGTTGCGTTGAGTCCACCTTCGGTCGTCAGGGTCGAGACCGCAGTACGAGATAGTAGCCACGGGGTAATGTCTGCGGAAGAACAGCTGCCTCTTGTTGTCTGTCAGAGTTATGCCCTGACTGGAAACCTGAAAAAAATATAGGTAATTATTATATACTTGTGCTTCACATTGGGCAATCATGGCATGCTTTTTTTTGTAGAATGCTGATTTTTACGCTTGAAAATGTTCCCCATTTCTTCATTTCAATAAGCACCAGAATTTCATGATAACAATAAAATCATTATCTGAACTGTATCCCATGAAAACGATAGGTTCAAATCATTCTCAATAGCCTAATTTTGACTGCCCGGGACAGAGCCCTAGGTTGATACTGAAATAGAAATAAGATAGAAACCTTCTCAGGCATACATGGAACATATTCCCCAAAGGTTTATGGTTATATTATAATGGTTTGGTAATGCATTAAGACAAACATGTCTTTTTTTACTTTGGTAGACATCAAATTTGATCTACGTATATTGATTATTGTACTTAGATAAAAAAAGGATAGTTAAAGGGATCTAAGGCAAATGTTAGGCTGCAAAAAGCAAAAGATTCCGAACAACGAAAATAGGTACCATTTGGAAGTAGAAATATATATTACCTTGAAATGCACAATAGCAGCAGGTGGTAGGGGCTTAGAGAAGAGTTCATTGACAGCTCGTATGATTGCTTGAGGACCTGTCAGCGACTCAGTGTCTATAGTTAGCAGGTAAAGGACATTGCAAGCTGAAAAATGAAAAAAAAAACATGTTACCATCACCATCTAATATTGGGTTTTAGAAACAGCTGATTTCAACCACTGTAATAACAATGTTACACCATCTTACTCTTAACCCTTTTGATGCTAGAAATTTTCTTTGTAATTTTCCAAAAAATGCTAGAGTTATTTACTTATTTCGTCCGAAAAGTGCTAGGCTTGCTACGGGGGCGAAGTGTAGTGTGCGAAAAAAATCGGTAAAAATAAAATCTTTCATCTGAAAAGTTGACAAGCAACGATATATTGGGCCTCAATCATATGAGGAATCAAAAGAAACCATCGCTGTTTCGAAACTACAACCGAGTCAACCGATATGCTCATTTAAACTCACATGATCGAAAGTCGCGCCGGCACAATATATCGTCGCTTAGCGCTTTTCGGATGAAAGGCGTACAACGTTATATCGTTCCATAGCACTGAAAGGGTTAAGCAACCTAGCTCAACTCTAATTACAAAAAAATCTTATATAACCTCTGGGCTTTCCTTTAACCAATTTCAAAATCACAAAAGTAAAAAAAAAAAATAGGTAATATAATAGTCAGAAGTAGAATAAAAGATAACGGCTGATAAGTTACCTGCGCCTTGAGCTAACAGCTGCTGTGCTGAGCTGATGGAACTTGTAGACTCGGAGGGTAGTTTAGTGTCTGACTCTGGCAAAGACAGTTTGCAAGGAAGGGCCAAGGGCATTAGAGAGTGCTGGTATACTAATGCAGACAGGGAACCTGCAAGTTTTGACAAATCATGATACTAGCTCATACAACTATGATAGGGAGAATTGTTTTAAGATGGAAAGAAAATGTTTAAAGGATTTTTTGACATTACCCTAAATCATACCCCCATTACATAAATCATATAAGTTTTATGATGTTTTTCATTATAGAATTTAAAACCAGATGCCTCACTTTTTTCGGTTAACCAAAAATATTAGAAATTTGAAACACTCATGAACTTATTAAACAATAGCACAAACCTTATGAAACCTCAAATTTTGAAATCGGCTTATACTTATAGAGAAGTGATAGTAAAAGTAAAAGCCGGAACCCATTAATACTCGCTCCTTTCAGTTTTAATCGCTGCTTCCCTTACATCTACAGTGTAGTATGTAACCATGTTTCAACTTACTGAACACTGGTTCGTTAGCACAGCCCTTAAGTCTCACTCCCCGCGACGTTGGTTCAATAAGGAAGTGTCTCACAAGCTCAGTTAGAGGATCTGAAGACGAAGCTGCTTTCCCCGGGGTGTTGGGGGGAGGGGTGGCTACCTTTAGTGCGAGACCAAACGCTCCTGGGAAGGAGTTGGAGTCTCGTACCACAAACGTTCCAGGCGCCCGATCTTTCAGCATTGCTATTGCTGCAAAAAAAAAAAAAACATTTTTTAGGAAAAATTGGATTAAAAGTACAAACAGTTGAGAAAATGGTTTTTTTTAGTTGTATAATTCAAAATAATAAAACCTCAATCGAGACCGTGAAGGGATGGTAATGTTAACACGTTCGCTGCGGCACGTCAAATGGCAGGCGTATCCCCAATGCGGTGCAGCCCTCAGCGTCGAACAAACCCAACTGCCGCGTGTGATTGGCTTTCCAATTTCGGTTTGACGAATATCAAATAACGTGCGGGGATGTCCTGCTTTACGACATAGTTCGCTAAACACCCACAGATAGCAGCACTGCTTGGAACGTCGCCCATTGGGATTGTTTTGCCAAATGGAGGGAAAAAGACAGGACAAAAAGTTGATTTTTAAGATTGCCAGACGGGGATTTTACGGGGACATTTACTACCATCCTACACCATAACAAAATGCAAGTCACACACTACACCCTAATGTGGTATAGGTCCGCTTTCAACCGACACTAGAGCAAAAACGAAGATAAACAAAAGGCAAAGCCGAGCGTTCCCGATCGGGTACAGACGCACCGTACGGGGGCCGTACCAAATTGGGAACGGCCACACTCAACGTCTTAGGACTTGTTATTATGGTGTTCTAAACAATATCATTGTTAGGCTCATACTAAATAAGGTCATAGTGGCATAATACTTTTGCAGGTTTAAGATATTCAAAGGATTGGATGATTAGTTACAATAATAACTAAAACACCCCCGTGGCAGCAAACCTGCCAACTAAGCGAATTTCCATTTGTCTGAATTGATTTCCAATAGACAATTCCTTTACTACAATTTCATCAAGAAATGTTACAGCGCCAAATTTAAATAAATAACATTGGTATAATAGATCCAATTAAATCTATTTAAATAAAATTAGGTTTAACGAGGACCCAGGTTTGCTGCTACAAGGAAACTTAAAAAGTGTATTTTTTTATAAAATATTAATAGCTTAGTATAAAATAAATAAAATTGCCAAGTTTGATCAAAATATATCCATAAACAAGCAAACTACATTTTACAATATTCTCCATAAGAATTCTTTTCTTTATTATCAACGTGAGAAGAAGGATGTTCATTGTTCGACAGCATTGTCACAACTACCATTGTACAGTGGCTGTAGTGGAATGGCTTGTCAGTTGCCTGTACCATAAACTGCAGTTGCCCGGCCGGTAACCGGTGGCGGATACCGGTGGCCGCCACTAGTGGCCTCGTGTGAAAGGGCCCTAAGGTAATCAGATCGAGTCCCACCGATGACACTAGCTTTTTGTCAAAGATTTAGCTTAGAATGTGATTAATTCTTAACTGTACATTTTTTTTGAATTTGAGGAAATTTTAATTGTTCTTAAATTGGGGGCTCTCCCACAATCCCCCACTCCTTTGCAGAAGAGGTTCTCATCGGTTTTTGACCAGCCCCCTGAGACCCTATCAATATTTGTCTGTAGACAGCTGTGGTTTGCATTTAGTTTTGTTTACTTTTGGTTACGGTACTAAGGAAATATTAAGGTTGTAAAACTTAGAAAGTCGATATAAAACTTGAAACCTTTATTTACTCAATTTATATTAACCTTAACTTAAATTAAAGCAGGTAATCGAATAACTAGAACTAATGCACAGATTTCTCGACAACAACCAACAAAATAGAATACATCTAAATCAATTGACAAATATTGATCCCAAGCTATGTTCAGCATAGTGTGAGGCCGTCTTAAAGAGCCATTTTATACTTAAGTCTTCCTGGTAAACCTGTGATAGTATGTCATAACACAGACTGTAGCCATTACCTTCTTCTCTCGATATTGTAGGCTTGTACCAGAACCTAGAAGTGTCTCGGACAAACTTGACGTGAGCCGGGGACACTTCCTGCGGAGGCTCTCCATTAGAGTGGATCGACGAGCGTCGCGAATGACCGTAGTAGACGCTTGGCGAAGATTGGCCGCCGTTAATCGTTCCGTTGTGGCTGCTAGAATATGTTAGGCCCTGTAGAATAACAAATTATTATAACTTACATAGGTAGATCGCTCTATTTTAATTTTTGGCAAAGACTATTTGTATAGTTGTCCTGAAAAATGCTTTTTTGGTTTCATCAATCAAAACTAGAAATGTTTTATTGTATTTAGTAAAGAATATCTATATCCAGTACTCGATTCCATCCAGTGGCAGAACGGCATTCTGGTACCTTTCGAAAATTGTTTGAGGGTGGATAGGAGGGGTGTGGGTACCTCATAAATCTGACAAGTATTTATTATCTTAACATATTTATAAATTATTTTCTACTTTTAGGGCTTTTAAAAACGTAGCATTTAAAAAAAATATTTTTATTTATAAATTATTCTAAATCAAAACAGACTTAAATCCTGGTGAGGCTGCATTAATAGTTCCACATTCAAATAAAATAAAAATCACAGAAAAGTGCATTTTATAAATTAAAAATGTCTAAATTACCTTGGGACTGTACTGTGTGTGTGAGTCACTTTCATATCCTCGGAATGAGCTGACTGAATGTTCTCGGTGATCTCTTGTTAATGTTTCACTTATTGGAGACCACTCTTTGCTGTAAAACAACGTTTCAGTGTTAAAACTATGGTTCCAAACCAAGGCTTGCAGATTCAATCGTAGGAAATATGGAGCGATTTGTTGTCCTCAAGGCAATACCTGAATATATATTATATAGATATGAGCTGAATAGATTGAATTGAGCTGTCATTACATTAATTAATTTTTCATTAGAGGGAAAATTAAAAAGACACCTTACCTAACAAGTGATTAAATTAACATTAGCAGAGGGTTGCTCACAGATTGTTTGTTGGTATTATATTACACCACTGTGAGTGGTAAATGATCTCTCAATTTGTTTAGGTTTCATTTCATACTGAAAAAGAAATATAATTATTTTTTTTAAATATGTTTACAGGCTAAATAAAAACAAAAGAGGTATGGTACACAAGGTGTAGAACAAAGTGTTGCTACGGGGTGGACTGACAAAAAATAAAAAAATATACTGGAGGGAAAATTTTACTTTGGGATATTCTTTTACTTAGTTCAAAAATCAAATAGTGAATTAAATTAAACCATATAGGACCCAAAACAATGACAGCCACGGTGGAATATTAAAATAAAATACCCCCTTCCCCTGCAGCAACCGTGTAGACTAAAGGAATTTCCATCCTCGATCCTCATTTAGATTTTCACCTAGATTAAACATTTCCAGATGTCAAATTTATTCCCTATTTAAACAACAGTATAACGATTTCTTAGGTTTGCTGCTACACAAAAGGTAATAAAAAAATGTAGCCTTAGTTTGAAACAAATCAATTTGCAAAATTTTATATATATATACATCCATAAACAAGAAACTACAGCAAGGTACATATGTTGTATATATATTTTTCAATAGAATATCATGGGAATATTGAATTACAATTTTTCAAATTTTCTCTGAAACCATTAACTGTACAAAAACACTTCAAAAGACTAAATTTGTTTTACCCTTACTAAATGAGAGGAAAAAATGACAGAAGTTATAGATAGGACATTCTACGTTCGCATAAACGTAGGTTTACATGTTTATACCACATTTGATCTAAATCAGATAATTTTTTCTTGAGTTACCGCGCTGATATATGAACTTGAAGGGATAGTGGTTTTTTCCTCTGGGGACATCAAAATGAAAAAGTAAATCAGTCTTGCGTCCCTATATGGGAAATATCCTAAAACCACCAATGGGAAGCTTGAACTTATGAGCAATTTGACAACAAATTTAAAATAATTTTCATCCATACGTTTGGTATCACAATCAATTATAAGGTCTTAAATGATTTTTTATAGATAGGACAATCCCGCCTTTAAAATAATAAAGCTTTAAATAATTATAGGATATAAATATATCCTATTGTTCAATTTTAATCAATTACTTATGCAAAGTTCTTTCAAACGTAGGATGATTTTTATTCTCGTTTTCCCAAAAAATTGAATGGATCTTATATTAAGTAAGATGATGTTATCGGTGGGACAAACGGGAGGGACGATGGCTAACATAGTGTCAGCATTCGCCGCTAGAACCTCTAAGTTGAAAAATTTGAATTGAGTTAATTTTATAATTTTTAGTTATAAAATTAACTTCTTAATTATAAAATTAAACTGTCATAACCTAACCTAACCAACCAAACTTGCTGATAATATAAAAAAATATATAAGATAAAAATGAAATGAATGTTTATTTATAATTTTTAATTATAAAATCGTCCCTCCCGTATGCCCATTCCATGATGTTATGGTCAGTATTTTAAATGAAATTGTTTTACAATAACCATGATTTGAACCGGAACATTTTACTGTCTATTTACATTGGTTTTGTTTGTTAAACTGTAAGCTTTGTGTTTTCAGGTCATTGTACTGTGATTTTGTCTCATGCAAAGCTGCATTGTTTTAAAACTTGTCTAACTAAATTAGGGCTGTAAACAAATATTAATCTACCAGGGTCATATTTAGAGTTAAATTACTTTACCGCGTTAAACATACTTAATGTTAATTGCTATGTTTTACACTTGCTACCTGATATCAACCATACCTAAATTTGTTATTTCTTCTACCTCTATCTACCAAGATTAACGAAATGATCTGCTTTTCTGCCCAAAGAGGGGACTAAACATACCTAGAAATTGCTGATGTTGACAACCATTTTCCCAGAGTTTTTAAACCCCGTCTGTTGAACATGTTGAATGAAAAATACAAAATTGATACATTTTCAAGTTACAAACATGAAGTTTACCTTATGAATAATCTTATAATTCATAACAGCAAATATCAGCAATACAAGTGGTCTAAATTACTTGTTGCCTAGTTAAATGGCATTTCGGCCTTTCAAGCCCTTAAGACCGGAACTTTGGTTGAATCAATCATTGTCAAAAAAGATTAAACTAGGTTAAATAAAATAGTTGTTAAAAATTTGAAAGGAAAGTCAAGTGGCTGATAACAACTTTTTTATCGAGACACAGATCAGCCAGTTCAGCCGAAAAAATTAATAGTTCAGGGGCTGAGACACAGTAGGCTATGGTTACAAAACACCACACTGTCATATTATGTTTAATGTAGGACTTATTAAGTACAACAGTGAAGAAAAATCCATCTACTCTTTGCAGTAGTCCTACACTATAACAAAATATCAGTAATGTTTTTTAACCATTACATGTTTTACCCTCTGTATTCTAATTTTCTCAGGCGAGCTATCTGACCCCTCCTTTCAAAAATACCTTTCCAACAAAATTGTGATTAAGTTGTGATAAAAGTTTCTCTAAGGTAAAATAAACAAGTGTAACAACAATGCATTGCTTACCGTTGCGCTGTAGGACTCTTGGGGGGTAACGCAGACGTAAGGGTGTCAAACTGTGTGGAGCTGCTGTTGATGTAAGGGGTGCGAGGGTGAACGGGGAAGGCGGGGGTCTGGGGGCGTGAACTACCAGAGTGGGGGGGACTGCTGGAGTGAGGGGGGCTGCCCCCCACCCCTGTGTCTTCACTCATAGACGTTGTGCGCCAAGAGGAGTAACTTTCATCCCGTAGCTGCAAAACAATCTTTGTGAGATAGGTTACTTAATTGTTGGGAAGTTAAAAACATTATTTATAAAATGAACTTATTTTAACTCATTTCGACTTATTTGGATCATTGAATTCAGATACTGGATTAGCTATTGTACCTATGAATCAGATGTAGCCAATTTTGTATTTAAAAATAATATCAGCTCTCACTCTTAGTGCTGTTTAAATTCTCTTAAGCTAATTAATAATAATGGGGAAGATCCTACTCCAGTACAAGAAATACAAAAGAATCTTACATTATATACTACATGAAACAAAATCTTACAATCTAATTAATATACATTAAATCCAACCCAAAAATGTTAAGTTTTTTTTTAGTAAATGAAAATGTTTACATATTTACAACTCTCAATTTTAATTTAGTTTCATGAAATGTTTCTATTATTCAGTAGCCCTTTAATAAGCTACTTTTATTTAGCAAAATGTCTGTAAAAGTATTTATAAGATCTCCACCAAATTTTTTCTATGGACTATAATTTTAATGAAATGTAGGCTAAATTTGATAAATTTACGATATAGTATAAATATTGTATAAAAATAGAACCTTTTTTATAATTTATTGTTTGAACAATGTTAATCTCTAACTTACTTTTAGTCTTAAAAGTAGGCAATTGTAATTTAAGTAACCGTATTAATTGGCTGGAAAAAAATATGAATTTCAACAAATATGTATTTATTGGTTCAAATGGAATTCTTTTGTTATGACATCACAAGCAGGTGTAACACAAGCTATTTCACACATTCCATGCCAGTAAAGCAATTGTGCAATGAAAACTGAAACCAAAATCAAAATCACAGCATGATAGTGCTTATTAGTCCATGCGTGCTTTGTGAGTGTGAGAAAGTACACTGTTGGTTGTGTGGACAATTCTTCTTAATTTGAATTGGAATTGTAATTTTTTGATTGCTAAACGGAAGAAAAATCACTTTTTAAAAGAAGGAAAAATAATAGTGAATTAATCGTAATTCATTCATATTAAGTCTTAAATGTGTGGTAAACTTTCACTGCCACTTTATTTTAAAGTTTTAATTAAATGAGCATTTTGAACACACTAGATAAACTACAATAGTTTTTACATCTGAAACGAACAAATATTCTATGGCTTTATTAAAAACAAAATTAGATGCATATTAAAATGTCGCAAAAAGTTTTGTCAGTACCGGTAATTGATTATTTTTTTTAAATTTATACATCAAAATTTAATCAACACTGCATTTAAAATTACTGTATAAGCTATCAAATAAAAAGAGGAATCAACTCCAAAACATTTTGCATAATAAAAGAAAAATTCTTTGTTTGAAGTTCATTGTTGGTGATGGTGAGTTATTGTTTTTCAAAGGTTTATTGCGGACATTTTCCATCATTCGTGATGGAAAATGTCCGCAATAAACCTTTGAACAACAAAAGAAATATTATATGAACTACACTTTTAATAGTTTAACCACATAAATTTATGTCATATTTAAATCCAATTGTTCAATTAAATTATATTAATTTGTTGATGAATACTTCCAGAGTCATCAAATGATGCACAGTAGTGTCTCATTACAAGGTTTATGCTAAAAATTATCATTTTAGTCTACAAAGTCTAGACTCTGATCAGTCTAAGTAATGGATAACCCGAGTTTTGGGATTTTATCAAGCCAATGGTAACTTTTACAGAACCTTAAAATAATCTATCTTGTACAGTAGCTTAGCGATTCACACTTCAAGAACACACAAAAAACACGAGAACGGGGTCACAGAAAACGTACTACTATAACCCAGAATGCCAACCGCATGGTAAAAAGCATTAAGCGTTTTGAGAGAGCTTTGCCTGTCAATCCTTAGGCAGCGCCAATAGCATAGCAACGCTGGTGGCGCTGCCTACGTATTGACAGGCAAAGCTCTCTCAAAACGCTTAATGCTTTTTACCATGCGGTTGGCATTCTGGGTTATAGTAGTACGTTTTCTGTGACGGGGTACACAAGATTAACAAAAAATACTCTTAAATCTTAATACTCAATTATGGGTCAAACGGGGACGCCCGCAACGATTGGTGTAGAGTGCACTGTTATCATGTTAAGTGATCTGTTCTTTGTGTGTAAATCGCATGATGACATCACAAAATGGATTATTTAAAGGCCCTGAAAAAGGATAAGGTTATGTACTGATATAAAGCCAAAACCCGAGTCACTCACTACCAGAACGAATCAGAGCTATGAAAATCTGGTATGCAAATGAATTCATCAAACAGCTTTAATGACCAATCACGATGAATAATGACAAAAAATAATTGACAGCATAAATCTTATAATGGGATCTCTGAACATAGACTGAATTTAAACCAATTTCGGAGAGTTGAACATCCCGTAACCAAGACGGTGTTATCGTGTGGTACCTGCGTGTGGGAGGTGCTGTTAGTTGTGTCACTATCGTTACTGGGGGGGGAGGAGGACGCGGCTAGGGAAGCCATCAGGCTGGACAACGCATCTCCTCCCAGTCCGTTACCCACCGCGTGGTTGAACCCGTTCAACCTCTGCTTCTCAGTTTCCACCAGCAGTCCGGAGTCCGGAGTCGAGGGTCCGGGGAAAGAGTCGGGACTCTGCAGTCGATAATATTAGTAATCAGCCACACGAAAAGCTCAAACATTCACAATGTTAGTGAGGAGAAGAAGAAAGAGGTTTGGGTTGTGAACAGACTTGAGAGAATCAATATAGCACCAATGCATCCTTGCTGAAATACTATTGATCACTAGAATTTTGGGGAAAAAATATTTTTTTCCAAAACTTTGGGTAAAATATCTAAGCAAGGATGTAACTTAGATTTTCTCAGTCTTCAATTGTATCTGACGATGACAAGTGTTACTGGTCAAAATGAATCAACCTGTAACATCTTTATATATTTTCCTCTCTCGTTTTAAATTAGCAATTTGAATAGTACCTGGTCTGCAAACAGCTTTAGAGCTCCCTTTCTCTTATCAAGGGTTAGAGGGCATTCCCTTGAACAATTGGCAAAATAAATAGCTAAAACCAGTTTTTGGAGATTGAAATGCTGATTGAAATTTATTTGTATTTATGTGGTATTAGCAAACAAATAAAACAATATTGAAAACAAATTTAGAAATTGTGCGCCTTAAAATATTTGACTCTGTGGGCCCTGATGAAGATGTATTGTATTTTATCTGTAAAACATCACCTGAATGGACAATGCTGATATAGTAGTTAAGATAACCCAAATCTATGAATTATTTTTCAAATTCTTTACACTCTCTCAAAAAGGAAAGAAATTTAAAGATTTTATAGAAATTAAGCTATACTGATAGCAACACATTTTCAAAACAGTCAATCTCAACCAAGATTCAGGCCCATTTTTATTCATATAAAAAAAATGAGAATTATGTTATTACTTTAGATATTAATTATATTGAATGGATAGATGTCTAGTAATGTGTAGCGGTGTAAACCAACAAAGATGGACAAACACAGGCCTTAGAAAATGAACAAAAATGTATACCTGTGTTAAATATAAGTTAAATATTCTAAGAGATATGTTGTCTTTGGTAACAATATTGTATTTGTCAGATTTAATTTCATTTTCTAAACATTGTTAGTTTGTTTTCAAATTTTTTAAAACTCGATAACTAATTAAATACACAGGTTAAAAAAAAATGTTTAATATGTAGAAACTAAAAATATTCAAACATACAAAATGTTACAATAGTTGCAAGAATATAAAGTAGAAGATTTTAATATAAATTTACTGAAGTGGTTATAAAAAAAAACAAACTCCTTGCAAAAAGGCCAGGAAATTTCAGGGAAACCAAAGAAAAGAGAAGGGAAAATGAACACTGAACCAATTTACACATAAATAACAGTTAATGCAACACGTTAAATAAAACATTAACTATTCATGAGGTGCTATATAAGTACATAGTGAGCATGAAGTGATGATAGATATGACATTTATTGCTTTTTGTGTTTTATATATACACGGTAACAGTTTAATTAGATAAACTTTGGTTTTAGATAGCTTTTGGTTAACTGCATGCAATTATTTGAAAAGAGAATAAAGAAACAAAATCATCGTATTAACTATTTAGTTTGATTGAGGAGCTCTGTGTCATTTTAATCTACTCTACACAATTATGTGATTCAAAGACAAGCTTTCTTGTAACTGGAAAACAAAACTTGAGCTCAAAACAAGAATATTTGTGGAAAGTGCTTTAACAACTTTGCAACAGCAAAAACAGATAGTATTTACAATAATATAAATAGTTTAACAGAATTTTTTAAGTTTTTAAAAATTACAAAGCTAGCACACTCAAAAGGCTGTCTTTAGCTTATTGCACAGTAGAAAAAAACATATATTTTTAAATGCCCTAATTAAATTACATAGAGTTAAACAATTTAACCTCCTATTTTCAAGCAAAAGAGGTGAGAAAAAAATGCAAATGCACACAAAGTCACACTATCGGATTACAGTCCCCACAAATTCATAACTAAATGATGAAATGGGTAATCCCACTTGTAAGGCTGATCAAGCAGGAGTAAATTATAGTTACTTACCGTTGAATCGCTATATTTACGGCTCTGCTCGTGAGAGCGCTTTACGGCTACGAAAGGTCTCTCTCTATCAAAGGAGTTCTCGGACTTCTGGCGTCCCATGGTGGAATTGCTGATCGTATTGAAGTGAGACACGGAAGTCGAGTTGGGATAGTTTCTTCTGGAAGACGTCCTGAACAGAACAAAGTGTAATTTTTAAAATGCTAGATATTTTTGGAAAGATACACTAAGATAGATAAGACTTTTGGTTTTAAAGATTCACAGACTCTTCTATATTCCTCATTCGCCACGCAGAACGGAGAGCCCATAAGCCATGTATTTCAACAATATTTACCGTCCTAAGAAGATCATAACGTCCTAAATGTTCTTTCACTTCTGAATTTTTTCTTGTACTTTTTACAATTACTTTTGACTAATCCAAAATTTTCATTCAAAGTACCAATCCATCATAGCAAAAGGCTTTAAGGTACAGAAATAGTAACACAAAATTTATTCAGCACCTTCATTTCTAAATAAAAGCAGATATGAGGACAGTAGACACAACTTGCATATCAATAAGGCATGTTACCAGTAATGTTGATAGGGTGACTATCTCTCTTAAGACCCATACTACACAAAGGACATGGTTTAGCAGTTTTAATGCTTTCAGTTGAAGAGTTTATTGAGCTTTCAGAGAAGAGCAGTGGTCAGACTTTACTGCTGTCAGATACCGAGTCTTTTTAACCAAGTCAAACTGAAAGGGCCATCTTACTGCAAACAATAGCATCTTTGTCACATCAATCATCAAAGTATTGTAAATTATAGAAACAAGAATTTTGACAGGGTAGCAAACTATATGAGCAGTTCATTCAATAATATGCTATTTGAATACAAAATCTACTAAAAGTAAATGTCACAGCTCACAGCAAGTGGCAGTATAGACTGTCACGAGAATGTTACTTCTGCATTCGTTGCTTCTCTAAGTAACTTCTATAGCTCGTACCTGTGTGGTAGTAAGGGCGAGACGGGCGCTGAGCTGCCATTGGTGGTTTTAGAAGTGGTGGTGTTGATGTGAAGAGGTATAGTGAAGTCTTCGTCATCTTCGTCAGCAAAGAGTGTGGTATCCGATGTGTATCCATCAAGACGCTGACTCGGCGAAGGCCGATGACTGCGGTATTGCCTGCAATTAATTAAATATCACAATCTTGTAGTTACTTAAAATTCATTTCAAGTTACCCTTCGAGCTGTGACTGAATATTTTCTGTAGAATTCCACAATTTTTGTAATTCCTTAACTCAAAAAAGGTTTTGAATTAACTAAATTTGTTTTTCCATAAGATTCTTCTCTGTAAAATTACCTACGTTTTTTTTTTAACTTTGTAACAAGGGCTCTAAAAATAATGAAATAAAAAAAAAACAGAAAGAAACAGCAAAGCAAATTAAGAAATCACATTCACACTCTCATGCACAAACCCATCACCAATTGAGCAAAAACAGATGAATCCTATATAAGACACTCAGAGACCATCTGCCCTAAGTAGAGATTTTTCAGAGCTGCCACAAACTGGAAACGTTCATGAAGGGATTTAAAATGCACGGGAAGCCATTCCACAGATGGCAATTGGTGACACCAAGCGCTGTCTTAAACTGTGGTCACATGATAAGGTATATGTAATGTGATTGAGAAAGAACGCTAAACTCATGATAACAATTTAAATTCAAATGTAAAATATTTTTGAGAACCTAATTTTAATATGTCGAAAAAAAACAAAGACAGAATTTTGATTGATCTTTGATAATTATTTAATTTATAGATATTTTCCTCGAGGCAGTATGGCATAATATGCTCCTCACGTTGCAGACAATATAAAAATCCCAAACCAGTAGTTCTGAGACCGCTGGAGCATACCCGCCTGAGTCACATTTACGCCATTGATCAATGCGAGTTGTAGTACAGTGTGATGAAACAAGTGATTTGATCCAGTGTAGCTTAGTGTGTTATGGCACTAAAGTTCAGTAAATATATGGAGATAAGCCCTTTTTTATGTCCGTGACTGCTAAGTCATCCTTTTACTTGTGAACTTTGTGAACTTTAGATTCATCACATTTCTTACCCTGTCTGTACAGTACGGAGCTCAGAAAGTAGCCTTGTCTCGTGAGGAAGTCTTTCCGATCTTAGCTGGACATCTCTCCTCTCTCGCAGCTTCTGTTGTTGTCGTTGCAACCAAGTCAAGTTGTTGCTGTTGTGATGGCTAATACTTCCACTCACGATCGTCCTGAAACATAGAGAAATTTACATTAGTTAACACAAAACCTTAAAATGTTTTAGCAATGAGCTATTGGAGTGAAAATTTTGAAACGTACGTTTTTATGTCCCAGGCCTTTTACTTCATAGATACTGAATATGTAGTTTATCATTATGTGTTTTAATATTTTTTGGGACGGGGGCAACATGTTAAACACAATTATTTGGCTTTGAATAGGTTCTAGGTATTTTTTTCGTATTTTTAAAGTCTCGAAACTCATGACCGTCACGTGTCCCTAGGGTACATATTGTGCAACTTACATGCTGTTTTAAGAATAATTATTCATGTCGAAATATATAATGTCATATTTTTATTAGGTACATCAATAGTTATTAAGCTTACGAAAAAGGAGCATATGATAATTTTGTTTTCATTGTAAACTGACTACCATGACTAAATAGGTCTGTCCCTCGATTTAACGTAACAACCATTAGGGGGAAAATTGCATCTTTGGAGCACGACAGTGGCAAGCCTGGCGTCGATGGAGTCAGTTGGTTTTAGAGACTAGTTGAGGGTGGATTGTAGTGCCGTTGTGGTGTTGTTTCGAGTTGAAAGGAGGAATTACAAGATTAATAAAGGAAAGTTTGTGTTTTTTGTAACTTTGGTGTGTCCATGACCGTACGTAGTCATTTGATGAAGTAGACATGGTGTTAATTTTTGTTTATAAGATATTTTCATTGCTAGATTAACCTAGAAGTCCACTTTGTATCCTCGAACATGAGGTGCAGGGCTACCACCAGAACAGAGCCAAATAACACGTAATGTCACGACCATCGCGGGTTTTTTTCACTACCAATCCAGCCTTATGGATTATACTGTGTTTGGTCGTGACAATAACTTAAATATCATTGTAAATTGAAAAGTTAAGTTCAATTGAAACACATATTTTTTATTATAACTAACAGTATAATTGTAGGATTGTTTAGAAAGATTTAGATTATTCCAGCCAGACAATTCACGACCGTACCGCTTGTCCCTGACCATCACGTTTATGATTTCTATCATATAAATTTCAAAAATTAAAATATCAACATACTTCAATGTTTTATACACAAAAGAAGCACACCTCTATAAAAACATAACGATTTTTCGGGTCTCAGGTAAGTTTTTTGGAGTTATACAAACTTAAAAAGATTTTATTGACTTTTTTTCAACTTGTTGAGTTTTAGCGAATTTCCTATATAGGGAATAAGCTATTACCGTAGTACTCATGGTAAGACTTGGACCCGGGACCAATTTACTTTTTCGTTTTGAGGTCCCTAGAGGCCAAAAACACCATCCGTTCAAATTCATATATATTTATATATATATGTGTCTGTTAGCGCGATAACTCAAGCAAAAATTATCCGATTTTGATGAAATTTGGTATAAACAAGAACCTACATTTATTTGAACGAGTTCGTGAACCAGCATGATCTGACTAGGGGAACGGGGTTTTATGGGGTAAAAATAGGGTTTTCCCATATTTTACCCCAAAAACACAAAATTTTACAATTTCTTTCCAAACCATTTTGTAGAGCTTAAAAAAAACAAATAATTTAGTACATTGAAGCGTTGTTGTGCGCCTAATGGTTACGGAGAAAATTCCAAAAAATTGTAAATTTAAAATTCCCACGTTATTCTAATGGAGAATAAGTCAACTGTTGTAGTTTGCTTGTTTATGAACATATTTTGATCGAATTTTGGGAAATACTTTCATTTCTTACTAAACTATTAACATTTTACAAAAATAAAACACTTTTACCCTCCCTGTTGCAGCAAACCTAAGTACTCGTTAAACTAATTCTATTTAAATAGGAAATAAATGTGATATTTTTATAGAGGCATTTTAGTGTAAATCCAATCAAGTTAATGGAAACTCGCTTAGTCTGCAGGTTTGCTGCGGCGGGGGTATTTTTATTTTTTTCTAGTAAGACCAAATATACCAAAAGCTTAGCGAGCTGTTTATTGTATAATGTCCCTAAAAGTAAATTAATTTATAGCAAAACATAGTTATAAAAATAATATTAACTATTTTTAATATACAGTTTTATGTCGGTGATGGTTGTGACACAATTTTGTGTTTTTCCATCAAAGATGCTCTATTAATAAAAAATCACCAAAGATATTGCGTTACCATGTACATTTTATGAAACTTCAAATGTTAATGAAATTAAAAAAATAAAAATTTCTAAAAACGGAACTTGAAATTTTTAAAGTGCTTTTCCTGAAAACGTACCTTTCAAAATTTTCACTTATTGACAGGTAAGTCAAAGCATTGACTTTGAATAGTGCAAGACAAATTCTAATGCTATTGTAAAATCTAATCCAATATTTTGTCGTTGTAGTATTTTTTACATTTTTTTTATGTGCGTTTCTGAGTTTTTTGAATACGCAAATCGATGTCTGCTGAATGTTTCTCTCGTACAGTATACAAGTGAAATACTCGGTAATTGTTAATTAACAAGAAACAAATAGTAAATAAGAAAACCTATTATTTACAGTAGTAGTACATATGCACCCCCTCCACCCTACACCAAATCAGAAAGTGAGGAAACCCAAGGGTTGTCTAACAGAACCATAAGAGTCCACTAAAAAAAAAATTAAAAATGTTATTACATCGGATTCATTTAGCTTGTGTTCTAGTATTAAAACTCCCTCCCTTATTTATTTCCTTTCTTTTAGTATTTCCTTTTGTTTTAGGTACCTATTCAATCAAATTTTTAGGATTGCAAAACTCCTAAGACAAAACATCCATGGTGACACAAAAGCCATACGCCACAGTTTAACAGCCAGTAAGACAAGGTAGTGTCCAGTCTCATTAAATATTCGCATCATTAGCTGTAAGCCAGTTTTTGTACCACAAGTACAAGGTCGACCCAAGGTCAGATCTTGCCTCCCACTGCTTGATACACCTCATGTTGGTACAGTATCTTTAGATTCTCTTTGTGCTACTTACATATCATGAAAGTGTTCCTCAAAGATATGTATCTTTGCTCAAGAAATCTATTAATTTGTCTTTCTACATAGGTGGAAAGTGAGCTCCTTTGATAAAAACTGACAATATTATTAAATAGGGAAAAGCTGTTTTGTTTGGTGATTTTTTAGAATTGAACCTATAAGAATTCAGGACAGGGTCCTAAAGCTAAACGCTGAATCAACCATGCACCAATTTGCTCAAGTTATGGTTTTTACACAGTTTTCTTTTTTTAATAGAATCATTAAACAAATAATACATAGGCATATCATTAAATTTTTTTCTTCAAAGGGGGTTGCTTATAGAACATATGTCATGTAATAGGAGGAATGTTAAACTACCGGAGGGGAGGTTTGGTGTATGGAATACTCCCTCTGGTATGTGGGGAGTCCATGTGGACTAAACTAACAGGAAATTGTTTGTATATGCATCGTTGTAAGTTTTGAGGCTTCCCTACTAATTATTAGTGAATGAGTAAACAATACTAAACAGTTTATTTCCAATGGGGACTACAACCCCTACCACACCTGACACCCATCCCTCTCATTGCGAGAAAAGTAGAAGTATTTACATCCCCACTATGCAAGATACCTTGATAAATTTTCTGAAGCAGTAATAGAGTATATAAGGCAAAAACTAACAGCCAAATAAAGGCAGGGGTTTTAATTTCTCTAATGATCTCATCATCAGATCTATTAGAGTTGACAGGCGAGAAACAGTAGGTAGTTAGCGTGAGAAGTTAGTTATTACTTCCTTGACCCACAATTGAACAAAAACTACTCATTGGCTGCAATTATCTCATCAACGATTGAAGGCATTGCAAAGTCAGGTGGCATCTATATCAGAATTGAGTGACATTAGTTATAAAATTTATATGTTGCATAGTTTTAATGGAGGGAATTTTCCAGTAACGTACAGAGAAAGTACCTCACAGCTGTGATAAATACGATTTTTGCAGCATAGTAGGGAACAGCTAAATTGGATTTGAGTGACATTCATATACATTTTTTTGGGATTAGGTTATTTTATATTGAATTAGGTTAGGCTACGTTAGATTAGAACAAAGACTCAAGACATAACTTAAAACTTCAATTGTTTTTTTATATACAAATAATTGAGTGGTAGTGAATTAACAGAAAAATCAGAATTGTCATACTATGTTAATTGAAAATATCCTCCAATACATAGATAGTCTCCTTTTTTACTTTAGAGTATTAAAAATAAAGAGAATAAAGTTTATGATTCAGTAATATTTTCTCGCAATGATACGGCATGTAAAATATTGTTTCGCAGTATGGCAAAGCCAAATTTAAAATTCTCCTACAGTTTCCTTGGCAGATTATAATTTTTCAATAATTTTTGTATTGCACATTTTCTAAAATGACCAACACTTTTGGTTACTTAAACTTGATAAATATTTACTTTCAATTTTTTTCAACCCGTAAAATTTCTTGCAGCAAAAATGTTGTTTGTTTCTAAACCATTTGTGTTATTATGTTACAAGTTTTTTGCACAACGTTGTGTTTTTCTCACGTTGTTTCATCTTTGACTCACAGGCTTTATATCGTCTTTCTATCAGGATATTTTCAGCCCACTTCTATAACGTTCTGGATGTTTCCCAATTTGTATAACTCCACATGATAGTGTTACGCAAACTAAGAGGTTCGCCAACTGACGGCGCTGGCTACTTCTCCAGTTAATATTCATTCACAATTAATCAATCATGAAATAATTAGTGTATACCATTTTAATTTCATGGATGAAAGACAAAATAAAGCTCACATATTACTAAAACAATTTTAAATGATTTTTTTCAGGGTTTTATTTAAAAAAACTTTATTTGGAAACTCAAGTCGCTGTAGATTTTAATTATTTCTATAATAACGTTGCCATTTTTTTTTAGCCACCATAGTTTAGAAAGGATTTTACAACATTTATCTATACAAAGCTGTAGGATTATTTCCGAAGAAACCCCCTTGAATACGATTGTTTTTAAATTATAGACACTTAAATA